TAAGAATTTTCAAACCGACCGTCATTTAACCTGGGTAGTGAAATAATCAACATGTGTTTAAATTGTTGAGCTTACACGAGGTTAATATAGTTATTTATTTCGGCTAGAGTTTCGACGGTTTCGTCTTCGTCAGAGCCGATGGTCCGCGTCGATGGTCCACAGATGTTCGTGTTCTCAAGGTTGTGTTTTCTTTTTTTTTGTGTCGCGCATCGAGCTGGATCTTCCTCAGTGGAGCACCTTTTTTCAATATGCCATGCTCACCCGACAATGTGGAAGGTTATTGTTGGCATTGTTATGGGCTGATAATCATTTGTTTTTCAACGGAAGAAAAGAGGCTCGATGCGAGACGAAGACGCCACCTCGAGAACACGAACAACTGTGGGCCATCGACTCGGATCATGGGCTCTGATGAAGACCAAACCGTCGAAACGTTAGCCGAAATAAATATCTATATCAACTTCGTGTAAGCTAAACAATTTAAAGGCATGTTAACAGAAATTGTTTATGCGTCGTTTTCTTGTTCAGGAATCGCGAGGTTGTTAGATAGCATACATTTATTCTCGTAGAAAAACACGCAATACAATAGAACGGTAGCTGACATTTCGGCAGTATCGTCTTCTTCAGAGCCTGGAAGGATATACTGACAGACAATCTGCTAGGCCAAATGCTTCAATAACACGAAAGACCGACTTTCTATAAACCTCGGCATAGATAGTTGATATATTTATTTATGTGATCTTATAAACTGATCTTCTTAAGCTGACGCGAGGTTGGTACAGATCTTCGTTGTCGTTGTCGTTGTTTTTGATGTTGCTGGTCGATGGCTGACGTTTCGGCGACTTCACCTTCCTCAGAGCCTGGACGTATTTAATTTTAGAATATTTTTATTATTCGGTGGCAAAAAAAGGTTCGGTGTGATATTAAGAGCAAGTTAAGGAAAAAGTTTGAAGATCTATCACGCCGCTCAAAAAGGTCAAATCAAAGAACCACCTTGGTCAAGTTCCAAGTAAAAATCTGTAATAGACTGCGCACCAAGAACATCCAGAGTTACTGTGCTAGGAGGCATAACGCTTCCGGAAAATGTGCGTTCCTTGTTAGAATTGGGTCCCAGTTTTGCACCTAGTCAACCCATTTCTAAACCAATCCTACGCAGGATCACGTGTAGTCTACATGAACATCAAGACCAGCTACGTTATAGGGTTAGGCTAGAAAGGTTAGGAAAAGTAGTATCAAGGGGGAACTACCACCAATACCCTTTCCCCGAACTTTCTTTAAACAAGAGCTAGCAAATAGCGATATTGACCCTATTGACCCTACATTTCGTTTATTTTCGGACGAAATTCTCCGCATACTTAATCACTACCAAAAACGAAAAAGAAGCTCCAACCTCACAACCCAACAAAAATGTGGTATGCGCCAGGTTAGAGAGCTTTTGAATTCAAAATCTATTAGACTTTCTATTAGTGATAAAGGCGGAGAATTTGTAGTTCTTCCTAGGCAGTTGGATATTAGGATAACCGAGGAGCACCTCAGTGATGTTTCTCTCTATCGAACATCCTCTGAAAAGGAATATAGAAACCAATACCGAAAATTAAATTAAGAATGGGTCAGCACGGCAAAGGCCACGGGTTTAGAGCCTTCAGTTATTTCTCGACCTAAAAACGAAAATCCAATTTGCGCTGTCCTTTACTTGCTTATTAAAACACATAAGCTTACTTTAACTGATGATATTACATCAACGAAGCCATCATCATATAAAGTTAGACCTATCATCAGTTGTATAGGCGGGCCAACGGATAGAACAAAGTGGTTCCTGAACCTTATCCTAACCCAGCTGCTAAAATTCGTTCCAACCCATCTACCTAATACCAAAATATTTTTAGACCACCTACGGTGCGCACAACCGAACAGCACGCATATAATGGAGTCATTCGATGTTACTTTCACTTTATACCAACATGTCCAATGACTCCGCAATGCAAGCCATCTTCGAACTTCTTGTTCAACATGAAAAGAGAATAAAAATGCACGGCTTGTCGATTGCGCAACTAATGACTCTTTTAGAACAATGACTCATAGTTGTTCAATCTTTAGGTGGTCCGGAAAATATTTTGCACAAATTAGAGACTTGGCCATGGGACAGCGTTTAGCACCAAGCGCCATCGCTTTCATGTCTAAGGTAGAAGCTACAGTACTCGATCACATACCCTTACTCTAGTGTCGATACACAGACGACTGCTTCAACGTCTGTTCCACTCAAGAACAGATGGATGAGTGCTTTGAATTGTTAAGCCGACAGACAGAGTATAAAAAATTTACACGAGAAAAACCTACCGAGAACTGGCTTCCATTCTTAAACATTCAAATAAAGCTCTCAGAGAGTGGCTATGTAACAAAATGGTATCGCAAGCCAAGCAGTAAAAACATGGTAGTCCACTGCCTCTCCTCTCACCCTTCACACATGAAAAAATCACTTATCAAAAGTATGTATCGCACGGCTAAAAATGTGTGTACAGAAGAAGAGGAAAGGAAGGAATCGCGAAACCTGGCACGAAAAATTGCCATTTCCAATGGCTACGAAGTAGAAGCCACTCGGGTTAGAGGAAAACGTTTGGTAGTTTCCCAAAATAATATTTCAGACGAAAATAGGATCCCCTTTAAGCTGCCCTTCATATCAAATGAAGTAAGTCACGCCATTAAAAAGTGCTTAAGAAAAAGTGGTCTTGAAAATTATGTAATGATTGTTGACATCCCACCCAGTACCCTACGCCGCCAGTTAGTTCGAAACCGTCTCTATGATCGTTTGTGCAGCTCAGAAAACTGTATGATCTGTCCTAACGGGAGAGACGGGGATTGCATGAGTTTAGGTATAATATACTTGATCTCATGTAGTGCATGCGGCGAGGAATATATCGGGGAAACGGGTAAACCACTTTGTGTACGCATAAAAGAACATCTGGATGGAAAAGCTAAAATCGTTTTAAACACCCCTCTAGGTACGCATAGGACACAAAAGCACAACGGCGATGATTTTGAAGTGAATGTGCGGGTCCTAGCGCAGGAATCAAATACATCAACGCGCAAAACTCTTGAGGCGTTTTGGATAAATTTCAAAAGTCCAAAGATGAACCGGAAGGACGAATGCCTCACTATCACGCGTGACCTGGCGCCTATTTCAAAATGATATTTTGACCCCGGGGCCTGTCATGCTCGCGACGACACGTGAACTACGTGTGGACCAGCCCCGCACGTAACATCACGGTGAGTGGCCTTTCTGTTCAATATGGCGTCTATTTGAAAGTTTGATCTTCATTAACAATTTAACCCCTTTTTTCCACCGAATAATAAAAATATTCTAATATTAAATATGTCCAGGCTCTGAGGAAGGCGAAGTCGCCGAAACGTCAACCATTGACCAGCAACATCAAGAACAACGACAACGACAACGAAGATCTGTACCAAACTCGCGTCAGCTTAAGAAGATCAGCTTCAATAACACGTGCAGACAGAACGAAAAAACTCTATGGCAATTACACAATCAAAAACTTCTCGAAGAACTCACCACTTTTTACGTAACGTCCAATGAGGAAGAATAGAACAGTTGATTATTGTCGCATATGGTTGATGACTGCACCAGTCCATATCAGAAATTGATGCGAAGACACGATGCCAGGTCGAGTGTGTTCTCTGGCCATTCATCTCTGCTATTCATTGCAGGGTTCTTGCACTTATCTAAAAAGCTTCAAGAAGTTTGCGTGCTAGTGTTTTGGCATCCTGTACGAGGATATTGACTTTTACAGCAAAATCGTCTCCGCTATGCTTTTGTATCCTATGCGTCCCTAGTGCCGTGCCTTGTCTTGCTTTTCGTTTGCCATCTAGGTGTTTTTTTATACGGATACACAAAAGTCTGCCCGTTTCGTCAATATATTCATCCCCGCAATTGTTACAAGAGATCAAGTATATCGTACCTGAACTCATGCAATCACCGTCCCTGCCGTAAGGGCAAATTACGCAATTTGTGGTTTCATACAGACGGTCATACAGGCGGTTCCGAACTAATTGGCGACGTAGAGTAGTCGGTGGTATTTCAACTATCGTTACCGATTCCTCTAGACCTGCCCTTCTTAAGCATCGTTTTATAGCTACGCTTACTTCATCGATTATAAAAGGCAACATGAACGGGACTTTCTTTTGGCCAAGTGTTTCGCGTGGGCGCGTCGTTCTCCTTGTAAACTTATCTCGTGGGGTTACTATTTCGTAGACATTGGAGATGGCTATTTCCCTAACCGAGTCGCGTGATTCCTCCTTTAGTTCCCTCTTTGTGCACACATAGGCGGCTCTTCGAAACATGTTTCTCAAAATTGCCTTCTTTGTGCGTTGAGAAAAGAGGAAATGAGCAAAAATTTTCTTATTACTTGGTTTTTGGTACCACTTGGTCATGTAACCACTATCTGATAAATTGATTTGAATATTAAAAAATGGAAACCAATTTTCTTTTGGTTTCTCCCGCGTGAATTTAATGTGCCCAGACTGCGTATTCAGCAATTCAAAGCATTTGTCCATCTCCTCCGCAGTAGAGAAGATGACAAAACAGTCATCTATATATCTACAGTACAGTAGCGGCCAGAGACCGAGAACTGGGACTTCTATCTTTGACATAAACGCAATGGCAAGCCTTGGTGCTAGTCCTTGTCCTATTGCAAACCCTTTTATTTACTCGTAGTATTTCCCAGACCATCTGAAAATCGGGCAGTTAAAGCACTCCTTTAAGAGATCCATAGGCTGTTGGATGGACAGGCCATGCATATTTATTCTTTCTTCATGTTCAGCAAAAAGTTCGAAGATGGCTTGCATTGCGGAGTCATTGGATACGTTGGTGCTAAGCGCGGAAACGTCGAAGGATTCCATCAGAAATTGTTCATATATTGACTGGGATCAATGCAGACTCGCTCAGCGTGTTATCTCGCACCATTTTTGTTGCTGTGACGTTTCGATACTTTATGGAAACTAACACGATGGTGAATACTCATAATTGCTCCAATACAAGGAAATCTTTAGTACAAGGTGAAAGGTTTTCTCGGTTAAATGCACTGGAGCCAGATCATTTATAATCCAATGCCGAGCTTAGTGGAAAGCCGATCCTGGGAAATAACACAATGTTCCACATCTTTTGGTGTTAGAAAGTTCTCCTCCAAGACGTGACTAGTAGACAGCGCAGAAAACTTTATACCATTTCTACTCTGCTGAGCTCGTCTATCCTTTCATTAGCTTCTAGTGAATAGCCTGCATGAAGAGATCATCCTGAACGTGCCGATCTTGGCTTTGATGCCGAATCAAGTTCCAAGCTAACGAAACACTTTAATGCAATTGTAGATATATGGCTGTCTTCCTCGCTACAACAAATCCTAGTTGAGTCTCTTCCTCCATAAATCCACCTCCAGACAGTTGCCTACCGGCCATCGCCTTGTGTGCACATCTGCCTTTCCTAAAAGCACTGAATAACTCCCACGACCTTTCTGTTGACCTCGGCATTGTTCAAGTAATTCTTCATATTCTTGTTGAGCTAACGCGAGGTGTTATTTTCTTCTTTATTCACGAAGAAGCTGACGTTCCGGCGGATTTCGGCTTTCTCAGAGCCGCTTTCTATGAGTCTTCCACTGAGTATGTCGCGTGGAGACCAACCCCACAGAATTCACATTACGATTCCATGTGACACTTTATCCCATGACACTGAATAACTTTATCCCATACTTGTGCTTCCTATGTCACATCTAACGGCATACGTCTGTACAGCCCGAGGAATTAGAAGAATTATTAATACGCATATCTTTTTCAAGCTTGCTTCAATTCCTATTGACAAGTTCAATAAGTCATTGACCTTTTGCAGTTTTCTATTGTACCATTGTTTTAACTTTTATTTCCTGCCCATTCTTTTTTCAAAGCAAGTGGGACGTCATGTTATCCATATTTTATATTATTATGTTATATTGCACTATATTCTATTCCATTCCTCCCAACGGTTTGCCGCCTCATTGTGGCTGGGAGGTGTTCCTGGGTGTCGGGCTGCGATGTACAGCGTGGGATTCATCCCCTGGTAGGGTCTCCCAAGCTGAGGAGGAGTCCGGCGTTTCCATCAGGAAGCCTAGCTAAGAGTAAACCAATACGAGGATCCACCATCGTCCTGGTATCAAAGTCGCATAGTGGTAAATCTCTCTCTGATCCACAAGGGCTGCAACTGCCCGTGGTGGTACCTGACCTGGGACAGACTTTGGCCAGGCTGACCTCGGGACTCCAGGAAACCATAATGGCTTAACCAGCAAATCTCCCAAAAAATGGAGATTATGCTGGGACCCACATAACCAGTGAGAACGGGCTATTCGAGTACCAAGTACCAAGTATTCTATTCTGTTACATTATTATAATATTATTTTGTATTGCCTCATAGTTTATATTATTTTGCATTATATTTTGCCCTGTCCAGCTCATATCGCAGAATGAGGGCTAACTGACAGCTTCAAAAGCTGTTCATTGCTATAGTATCTGATCTTTTCCCTTGGCCAGACCAGGACTAGCAGTTTCTGAACCAAGTGGATGAAACAATTCCCGTGTGAAGATTCAGAGTGTTGAATGTTTTCATCACTTCAAAGGCCCCCAAAACTAGCTTTATATTAACGTCAGCAATGTTCAGTAAATCAGTGTTTCATTCTTGATCAGCAATGGGGTTGTCAACGCAACATATGACAGATGATAACGCGCAAATGAGAAGAGGGTTGGCAATGGGACAGCTAGTGGCCACAAGCCTTGCCATTGCGTCCAAGTTGAAGCCCCCGTACTCGGTCTCTTACCACTGCTCTACTGCAAATATATGGATGATTGTTTTGTTATTTTTGTTATCTGTTCCACACAAAAGGAGGTGGACAAATGTTTCAAGTTACTGAACGAACAATCAGAATACTTTATTTAAGAGCAACTTAAAAACGGCTTCCGTTCTTGAACGTTCAAATAAACCCGAAAAAAAACATTTACAGCACCGAATGACACAGAACGCCAAGTAACAAAACCACACCTTCTCATTACTTCTCTCACCCTTCACGCACAAGAAGTGAGTGCTTGTGGGAAACACGTTTCAAGTGGCCAGTCTGTGCACAGGAAGAGAGCAGAAGAGGGAATCCTCGAGCTTTTCGCTGCAAAGAACGCCCCAAAACGATAAGTTTAAGGAAAATAAGATCCCGTTCATTCTCCTTTTCATTTTTAACGAACTAAGTGTAGCTTTTATTTAAAAAGGCAGGTTTAGAGAAAAAGGTAACAGTGATTGAAGTGCCACCCAACACTCTAAGACCCCAGCTAGTTCGTAACCGGTTGCATGACCACCTGTGCTAAACGCGCATTTACATGTCATAAAACCGACTTTCATTAAACCCCGAAAAAAGTAACCAATATCTTCTTCGATTATTAAGGTATCACGAGCTTGATAAAAGAGATTTATTGGACTAACATTTCGACGTCTTCATCTTCTTCACAGCAGGATTGATTTGAGTCAATGACTCAATATTGGTCGTCCTGGTGATGTGGTTGTTTCTTGTGCCATCGAGTCAAATCCAATGAAATAGAGCACTGGTCGAACTAAGAAACTCTTTTGGTTGGAAGGAACCGCCGACAAATTAATCTGGCTCTGAAGAAGACGAAGACGTCGAAACATTAGCCGTTCAGTCACGTTTCTTGCCCATGTAAGACTCTGGGCCGCTAGTCTCCACTAAACAACTGGAAGACTTATAAAGGATAGAAATACGGTTAATCGACATGTTTTCTTTGATTGATAAGCTAATACACGGTCGATAGAACAACGCCTTATTTACCTAACGTCTCGACGTATTCGTCTTCATCAGAGCCGATGATAAATGTCGATACTCCATAGCTGATCGTCGTCACTATGTGCGGCTTTCGTCTTCGTATCGAGTTTTCTTTTATCAGTCTAGTGTTAGCTTATCAATGAGAGACGATTTTGATTAACCATTCAGAGGATAAAGAAAAGTAGGTTTTCGAAATGCGAGGAGTGTTTAACAGGAAGTGTTTAATATGCTAATGGAATTTATGTATTGAGTTTTTCCTGCATGTGTTATGAGTCTCATTGGCTGTGTAGAGCATTGTAAGCCCGGCCTTGCCAGGATCTGGTGAAGGCGAGAGCGCTATAATATCAGTAAGCATTGAATAAATCTTGTCATTGACAATGTCTGCTCATGAATAAAACAAACCTTAGAGGTTGGGCGTTCTGCGACTGAGCTTTTACTTGTCCACACCTATGCTCTCCACTTCGGATTTGTTCCTAATCAAGTTCAAATCACCAGGTGTAAATAATTCATCAAAAACTTATCGAATTTGAGTAACAAAGTAAAAGCAAAATCTTAACCCTTTTATTTACTGCCTTTTTGTTTTTAATGGCAGGGTATGTTGAGAAATATAACTCGTATATAATGCTGAGATATTTGAAAAACTCCGGACCGCAGGTGTATGCGGTGGGGAACGAACACGCGCTGTTGTCCTTACCGGTGAGCAGCGCACTTCACCACCACATCATCCGGGTCCTTCGTTTTGCCTGTCCCTCAACTAGTTCTATCGATCTTTCTGCCATCACAGCGCAGCTTTTCTGCCAAAAGCACAATGTTAACTTTCTATTTGCTGCCTATAACAATTTTTCATGGCAGCGTAACGAAGGATCCACATGGTGTAATGGTGAAGGCGTAAGCCTTCGGAAAGATTAATAGCGCGTTCATTCCCCACCGCAGACACCTGCGGTCCGGAGTCTTCAAAAAGTGGAAGTAGTTAATCCACTCCAGATGGCTGTTATTGAGAATCGGCTGTTAAGAGGTATCCAGCTCTCTGACCAGTCATCGCCTACTTCATCATCACCATCAACTTCGTTTTCATCCTCAGATTCCCTTTCTTATGACTCTTGAAAGAAGACATTGATTTCCACAACGTCTTGAAATTCTTCTTGCTCAATCTCAACGAGTGCTCAATTAAAAATGAGGTCCGAAAACTATGGAGTGGATACACAGATGAACATGGAGAATACGATAAATACAAGAACCTCTAAAATGAATGGAAAAACAGAAGTGTACGGCAAAAAACGCGAAAAAGGGTATGGAACCATTTTTGGGGGACCCGGCAGACAGCACACATTGAGTTCGATGCATTACGCACGCGATGAGGAAATTAGGCGTCCATTCACTTCATTATGAAAATACAACATGCTTTCAATATAACAATGTATATTCCTTTGCCTTCATAAGTCAAATGTTTTTATTTCAAAACGAACAAATCACTTGACAGAGCTTCCCCACGAAGACCTTAGTACATTCATTTCGACTGTCTTTCTTCATTTTTCCTCCTGCTGAGGTCGTTTTGATTTCTTTTTGGAAATATTAACAGAAATTTGTTTATGAATTTAGGAAAAGACTTATTACCAGTTCGGCTTGCAAAGTTTCGCATTTGACGTGTTGGCAAGTGATCGCCTAGGTGTTCGACGGGATCCCGGCAAGATTACCCACGAACTGTAAGATAGTTTTGATACACCTGATCAATTTATACCTACAGTTTCAGTTGTTGAAGACGATAACACAACAAAATGACGATGACCAACATGACCATGACCTTACACTTCTTCAGATGTGCCAACAGCACTTTCGAAGGCGATTTCTCCACTTCCATCATTATTGTTCACCACAACGAAGCGCTATCAGTACTTCTTCGTATGGTAGCAGGTACTTTGTACTGCCTTAGCGCGAAATGGATCACACTCGTCGATAATATCGTTACGATTTTGTCACTAATTTATCGTCAATGTTACGGGCGCTGAGTGGGCAACCTTTTTCTCTTCGACTGCCTTAGTTGCTGAGTCGAGGTGTTCCTAGTTTATCGTAAGAACCAGTCGATGAACATAATGATTTCGAGAGAAGTTAGCTACTTGATAATTTCTTTCAATGCAGTGCCAATCCCTGGTGAAGGCTTTCTTTTAGTTGGGCCTCTGGATGGGAGCATTACATTCTTTCTTATGAATTTACTTATCATTATTACCATTATTAGTGCACTTCAGAGTTCAAAGCTGTCAAAATAGCAGTTCTCTACCTCCAATAAGCCAGGCTCGGCTCTCCAGGAAAATATTAGTCATAAAGTCACTCGATTTCAGGTATTTTCGAAAGGACACCTGCTCACCTACTTCATGAAGTTATTCTTTATGAAGATGCAAGCACCGCCGAGCACCAACTCACTGATTATCTCAATGAATTTGCTTCTATCAATGGATGGAGTAATAAGATAATTGTGAAACGTAGTGATGAACGTCAAGGTCTCATCAGAGCAAAGGTAACACTTAAAAAGATAAAGATCGTTCAAAACTACCAGGTAAGAATGAACGCTTCCATCAGTTCTAGTTAGTAGAAGCTCTAGAAGAGAACAGATTTTTTCGAAATATATCAAGGAATCATCTATGTTTCTCTCTATGCACCATCTCCCTTCTATGAAATGTCTCGAGGTCATGTAGCACGCTACCAGATGAAGAACAAGGAGATAAATGCAAACCAAAATGGACCATGTATTTTCACTGAAACATGTTTCGATTCAAGAGATTTGTCCCTTGCCTTCGGCTGGTTAAATTAAATAATGCTCTGTGTACAAGGATAATCGTAGTCATATTATGCGAATGGATCTGCTTACAATGTTTTGCTTTTTATTTTCTGCCTACTTTAATTGTTACGGCAGGCTGCTAAGCGAAATACAATCACAATGTTGCTGAGATATTTGAGACAGGAGACAGAACTAGCTGAGAGACACGCGAAACGAAGGACCCGCATGATGTGATGGTGAACGCGTTACTCCCCGGAAAGAACAATAGCGCGTTCGTTCCCCAACTTAAACACCAGCGGTCCAGAGTTTTGCAAAGATCTCAGCAACATTGTGGTTGGATCTGCTTGCGTTTATGCCGATTATATCTTTTATATCGATGTTGCCAAAAGCGTACAAAGAAGTGACTACGAAGTATATCGGATTCGGTTCGGGGTCGCTTCCAGCTGGAAAGATCCATGTCTATTCTGGAGATTCCCAAAACGCCAACCATGACTGTAAGCCCGCATGATAGGAGACGATGAGCTACCCATAATTACACTTTTGCTCTTCCTGCTCTTCGGGTAGACGAAGCTCTCTGGGCAATTTCGTCTTGAGTCACTGGTTGCTTAGTGGAACATTTAATTGAGTACATTAGATAAGACAAGAAAATTGGTGAAACAATATGCAAACGTTCGCCAAGATTTGTCTGCCTCAGATCCAACAATCTGACTTAGATATTTTCAGAACTTAGACTCCACGCGGTCATTGTGTGAAATCCAAACCGCATCATTGTAATAAACAGCTAAAGTACCATTTAGTAAGAATGTACGCTATCGTTTACTGGTTAACTGCTGTTTATAGACGTTGGCGTCTCGTCTCGCTACGGGCGATGTTATCGTTTTTATGGACAGTCATTGTGAAGTCACGAAACGTTGGCTAGAACCGCTTTTGGCTCCAATCGCAGAAAATCCGAACAGGTAGAATCATTCGCTGATGGATAATTCACGACATTATCTGCACCATCGCACAGTGTCCTATCTGTTAACATCGGAATGGTCCGTTCCTCAGTTCGATTATTCCACATCAGAGAACCATGGAACGCGTGAAGTGCAATGGTTAGAGGCGCTCTGCAATGCACAGGAGGTCGTTGATTCTATCCTGCGCATCACGCTCACTAAGCCTTTCATTTCTCCGGGGTCGGCAAATTCGTACCAGACTGTCTGGGAGATTAAAAAAACACTGAATTGATACATCGGTAGGCCACAGGTCACTTGTATGTGCCAGGACTGCATTCAACCACCTGCGCAATATTTACTAGAGCTGGATGAATGGCACGTCCTTCAGGGATTAATCAACAGAGAGAGCTTTATCCTTTTATTCTTAATAAAACCTTTTCTGGTGTTATCAACAATGCAATCAAATATATTGCCAAATGAGCAGAATTAGTAGTTCCATTCATTGCCCAGTTCTTAGTTCCCATTCTCTTTACCTAATATTCCGAATACTCCTGTTCATTATCATTAACAGTTATCGAAAGTAACTGATTTCAAGTGTTGTGTTACCAATCATCGACATTATTCATCCGATCAACTTTGAATATTCAAAAGCGATGATCGCCAAAGTTGGTTTCGATTGGTCGCTGATGTCCAGATGGATATATCTCAGCTGGGAATACTTCGACATCAAGGAGAACAACGTGAAACCTTTTGAGTAAGTTCCATGTTATATCCAACAACTATTGAATTTACAACGATACACTACTGCAGATCTCCGTCCATGTCTGGCGGATTATTGGCGATTCGGCGTGAGTACTTCCGAACACTGGGAGAATACGATATGGGAATGGAGATATGGGGTGCTGAAAACGTTGATCTCTCACTAAAGGTTTCTTGCTTAACGTGTTCAGTAGTTTCGCATCTATATCATTTCTCTCTTCTTTTCTCTTTTTCTTTTCTTCTTCATTGTCTTCAGCATTTGCACTGAAAAGTCGAGTTTCATACTTGAGGAATGCCCTAAATTTTTCGAGAAAAGTATACAAATTGGTAGACAAGTACCATTACACAAAGATAGATATTCCATCAACCTAAGAGCTATTCAGGCGATTCTGTTCAATATTTGGTCTAAACACCTAGGCTTCCATAACTCTAATAGTTTCGCACTCATTGTTAGCAGAAAAATTGATGCCCAGTAACATTTTCAAGTGAAGAACATCTCTGCTATTACAACAGTAGAGTGACCAGAAAGAAGCGGATTCTCAATGCTCCTTCTCTACGAGTATAACCTTAAGTTCGTCTCTAGGTTGGTCTTAATAAGACTTGCCACAGGGCGCGTGTGACGCAGTGGTTGGAGGCGCCACTGCGACACACACGTGCGATCGACCCCTTCGCCCCTAACTGACCAAGCCTTCCATCCTCCCTGGGTCGGCAAATTGGTACCAGACTTATCCAGGAGGAGATAGCGGCACTGGCTCGATACATCGGTAGGCCACCGCGAGTAATTGTAAAGGCCAGATATGCATTCAATCACCTCCAATGATACTTAATGAAGTCGAATACATGTCGCATCCCTCAGAGATAGATCAACGCCGAGAGCTTTATCGCTTTTTAAGGCTTGCTACACAAACTATTTTACGTATCGCCGAGAACGGAATATTCCATAGCTGCTAAACTGCTTCATTTGGAAATCCCAAGAAATTGAGATTTTCCCGCGATGCTTTACATATGCTTTATACGATGATTTCAGATGCTTTACAATTCTTTCGTGCTGTAGTACAATTGTGTACTGTCTCAAAATTAAGCACCAAACAGTAGATCGCCGATTTTAGACATGGATGTGCGGTGGCCGTATTGTGGTTGCACCATGTAGTCGAATCGGGCACGTCTTCAGAATGCGACGACCGTACAAGGGTAAGGAAGACATGGACACGAGCCTATTCAACTCTCTTCGTGTAGCGAAAACTTGGCTTGGAAATTATGAGGTTAGTATGTTACAATTTAAAATGACATTCTCAGCCAGCCACACAGATTTGTTCCAGAAAAACTTTATTCGAGCCCGTCCTATAGCAGCAAGATTGGATTACGGTGATATCAACGCTGGTTTAGAACTAAAGAAACGACTCAATTGTAAAGATATGGAGTGGTATTTGACGAATGTCTATCCAGATTTGAAACTGTCGGCAACCAAAATTAACGACGAATTATAAGCGGCTCTCTTGATTGAAATTCTTTGTGTTGTACTTATCGTACTTATTTTATCTATTATGAGATTCCATTTTCTTGAATGAAACTGGCAACTAAGTTAAGCACCACTCAATCTCTATGGACTCAATATTCTCATCCTAAAAAGTGCACATGAAACAAAGTGCTCATCCTGAAAAGTGCACATGAAACATTGAGGTATGAATCATATTCACTAGGAAAGTCTGAATGCTCCTTATTCATCAGCGAATAAACATCTTTACATCTATGAAGTGCCCTTATGATAGAAGAGGAAATATCTCAGCGGCAGCAGGAAGCTGTTCAATTCAAAACAATTCTTGTGAAGTCACCATGAGCACAATCAGAGCTCATTACAAGACGGGAATTGTAGGAAGAACTTTTTATTAAACTCTGCACTCATCACCCCCCCCCCCCCCCCCCCCCCCCCCCCTCCCCTCCCCCACTTAAAACGACGCTCATTCAGTATTCAAGATACCAACAGGGATGTAAGATGAGATATGCTTTAACACTCTGGCTAATACAACTACAATGGTGCTGAGATATTTGCGAAACTCCGGACCGCTGGTGCCTACGGTGGGGAACGCGCTAGTACCCTTTCCTGGGGCTAACGCGTTCACCACCACACCATGTGGGTCCTTCGTTTCGCCTGCTTTTTTGTCAGAGATCAGTCATCACTTTTGCCCTCGGAGGTGGTAACAACGCGTTCGTTCCCCACCGCAGACACCAGTGGTCCGGCGTTTTCTGAATATCTCAGCACCATTGTGGTCGTAATTCGCATAATATCCTGCTATGAAAAATCGTAGAAGGCAGCAAATGAAAAGTTAACACTGCATAATATTTGGTTGCGCTCACTGTGACGTCTACAGATGTCACACCGGTCACCTATGCAGTTTTTATGTATCCCCATCCCCTATCGTCGCGATCTCCGTTCTATAAATAGGTCTTTCTCTGCGTTTTCAAAAAAATCCTGCGCCTTTTCTAAAATACGCAAGCTCCATGTTCTTCTACACACCCTCCCATGCTTTTGGTGCATACACAACTGTGGTACGCGAAGAAAAATCCTCATCCACTAGGTAGTCGTAGTGCTGTCAGCGCCTAAACAAGATGTAAAAGTTCTGCAACAAATATTATCCAAAAAGAGGTTTTTTTGTGAATTATTAAGCGAAAAAATACTTATAAGGCATCATCACATGGATAATGTCTTACACAGCATCTGCATTGGATAGGCTATCGACTGAATACAAATGTGGGAAAAAAACCTCCACGCATCAAAATAGACCACAGGAAATGAAATGACATTTAAGTGTTTTACTATGCCACTCCCGCAAAAACGACTACGACACATCTTACAGATGTCACGAGAGTGCTACGATTAGCCAAACCCACATATAAATCTGGTCAGGTATATGGGTTACAAGATAACGAAACTTACTGAAGTAGTAGAACCCATTTTCTCGATGAATTGTTACAAATTTTCAGTATTTCAACAATAAGTAATCATCAGAATTACTGGTTAGATAACCGTATAGGTCTGATCAAAATCACAAATCAGTATATTCTACAATCACAACTGAGCGGACTTTAATCAGCAGGGTTCACTATACCATACATAGGCCAAAATGCAATAGTTCTTCCAATAAACCAGTGGACAAAAACAAAACGAAAGAGGAGACACAGCAAAATAACCTAGAGCTTTACTCGCATGAAGTAGAAAAAATAGAGGAAGCGAAACCATCTATGTATAATCCAACAACAACATGAGGAAAAAGACGTTATATAACCTAAGGAGCTTGCCAGAACAACACAAAACCTTTACCAAAGGAGACAGTGAGGATGGATAGATACCTAAGAGATTTGTGAGGTAAAACAAAACCTTTACAAATTAGCTAATAAGCGAAAAGAGTGAAATATGAGAATAGCGTACGAATTCTTAATAATTGGGCAGTAGATATCTATAGTAGAGCTTTAAAGTGGGAGAGTTACTGTTTACGAATCCGAAACCAACTATCAAACACGGTTCATCGATTTGGAATATAGCTCTTTTAGCCGATAGATCTCACTACTGGTTTACTCGAACTGGAGAATCCTGTTCTACTTGTCGCTCATTTTGTAAAAGTGCTTTTGTCTTCGTGATGGTCAATGCTAGCATTATATTCCACATCGGCAATACCAGTACTAGTAGCAGTGGTAGCACATATGACCCGTATACCAAGTGATCTTCCACGAGTCGGAATAGTGTATTGATGAACTGCAAAGCAAAAGCAGAAAATGATGATTACCTATCTCGCTTAAGCTACTCTCTAAGCAATTCAAAAATTACTTCTTATTAAAAATTATTCATCTACAAGCCATTGAAAGTAGGTGGATTTGAATGAGAAAAAAATCACTATGTAATGAAGTAACCTTAGAATCAAAAAACAATACGTTATTTGGTGTATTTCTTTAAATATTTGAAGAAGTAAGCGACGAATGAATACCATTGTATTCAGTTTATTAATATATAACGCCCGACTGCCGAATTTCATGGCTGCGGCAGGTAATAACACCTAACTCTATGTCAGTTATGGATTTGGGGGCTTTTTGGCAATAGAAGGATAAAGGATAAAGCTCTCGGCGCAGATCAATCCCTGAGGGATGCGCCATGCATTCGACTTCACTAAGTATCGTTGGTGGTGATTGAATGAATATTTGGTCTTTACAATGACTCGCGGTGGCCTACCGATGTATCAAACCAGTGCTGCTATCCTACCAGACAAGTCTGTTACCAATTTGTCGATCCCGGAGAGATGGAAGGCTTGGTGGGCCAGAGGTGCAGGAGACGATTTCACGTGTGTGTCGCAGTGGCGTCCCCAACCACTGCGCCACATGCGCCCTTTTTATACAGTAGACGCTAATTTTTTTGATTGACAACTAAATAAGCTAATTGATTAGGAACATGGCACATTTATAGAAAAGAGTGCTAAACCGATTAGAGGTTATGTACGAAATCTAGGCTAATATTTAGTACGCATTACTATGGTCCTCCATCCATCCACATTGCTGTAACGTTTGTTTTCGTTGTTTTCTTTATTTGTTTTGCAGCTTATGTTGAACCTTTTTCTGTACTTTTACATGCACCCGTTCCAAATAATAACGATTATTGATCACAGCGATTTAAAACCAAATAATAATTAATTATCAGTCAAATTCTTGGCCAGTCAATACGTTTGAAAAAAGGCGTTTTTAAGCTATTAAGCGTCCAGAATAGATTTTTATAGTACACATTTGGTATGCCTGTGTTGGACAAGTTAGTTAGTATAATAAATAGGGTAAAAAAGCTCTACCTAGAAAAACAAAATACTGAAAATGAAGTGCACTTGGTTCACTTTGAATCCACCAGGAACCCTGACTCAGAATTAACCTATGCGCTCATTCCTGGCATTCATATGCAAAAAACCAATTCATAAGGTTACGAAGCAGCAGATTTTCATTCAATGTAAAAGGGTCAGCGAGTGCACATGGCGACGAGCTGGAAACTTCATGGCACGGTTTCTGGAAGCTCCCAACAGATATCGTAATGAATTTGTCAAATTTGCAAGTAGTAACGTACCGTATGTATTTCCATAACAAATGGTTCTTCATGGTATTCAAGGAGGGGACGACCATATACCACGAACAACGCGTAAATGACAAATGGATGGCACGCCAAAGCCAATGCTGACCTTAGAAGAGCACGAGATCTGGAATATTATTTGGAAACTGTAACCATAAAGGATACGAGCGCTAAACATATATTTCAGGCCAGCTCATCCGAATTTCCAGGATAGGAAGCAGTTACAAGCGTAAAAAATTAAAGACATACCTATCTCCACTATCGCCCGTAAGCTTGATCAACACTGGTGTGGCAACCATTGCAAATGCAAGTGCTAGCGAAAAATTCAACAGAGCAACAGCAACAGAAGCTAAAGCGCACTCCAACAGCAGCAAGAATCGCAGCGAGTGAATTTCTGTGACCGACCTGAAGTCGGATTTAATACACCACATTAAAACGTCACTTCATTGAAGTATTCACGACAATGTGAGTCGCAAGTGAGTCGTACTTTTAAAGGAATAAATTTAGCCATCCAACTGTAATCAAACATATATAAGCACATAACAAACTTCATTAAATAGAACAGAATCATTGAAATATACATACTTCTGTTAATACGACGTAAGTTAATATACATTACAATTGTTAAACCTTAATTCTCTAAATCCAATACTTTATTTCCTTTTTTTTTCCCAAAACTTGGGTATCACCTCACCTGTGTCACCTGCAGTCCCGTTCATCGTCGAGTGACTCGAGCGGGCACCAGTAAATCTTCCATTTTTCACTGTCGCATGCAAGGGTAGCCCAGTGGGTTTTACTCGCACTAGGGGCTCGTCGAGCATCATATCTTTCTTCAAGGCACTATGTGAAGAACTCTGACTATCAGGTCGGTGGTCTTCCTGCAGCACGTTTGACATCCCGAGGAATCCAATCACTAACGGCTCTTGTCCATCGGTTGTCATTCATACGCATTACGTGTCAGACCCACCTTATCTTCGATTGTTTGGCGTACAGAACGGCACCTTGATTTTTAATCGTTGACGCAGATCGGAGCTTCGGATACCATCCCTTAATTGTGTGGGACGGGATGCTCCTAGCATCGTCCTTTCGACTGCGCGTTCGATAACGATGCTCCCAGCGACCTTCCTGCTTATGCAGCGACCAGGTTTCTGAGGCATACGTTGAGCAGAAAGTACCGTTGAGTCGAAAAGGTGGGACCGAAGCCGGGTGTTATTTTTTTCTCTTCACTACATCATCAATGCTCTTGAAAGCTCCCCAAGCCGCTTGTTTAATTCTGCTCAGCTCTGGAGCTAGGTCGTTCACCATATTGATTTCCCGACCTAGATAGATATAACTGGAGCATTCAGAGATATTCGTTCCATTGAGCATGAATGAGGCATACAAAACCAATCCGAACCCCATGAACATCCTTTTTGCGGGGTTCAGTCGAAGATCAATCTTTCCACAGGCTTTATCAAAGTCGTCAAGCATACGTTCCGCTTGGGTAATGTTTGGTGTTACAAGGACGATGTCACCATCAAAGCGAAGATAGTGTAACTGCCGACCGTCGATTTTCATTCCCATATTATCCCATTCCAATGGTCGCACGACGTTCTGGAGGGTGATGGCAATTAATTTTGACGAGATGGTATCGCCTTGCTTAACTCCTGTTTTGTCATCAATGTTAATATCGTTGCAGAATGGTGATATCTTGGTTGTGAAATTTTTGTACAGCTCACGAAGAATCTTTATGTACTGAGTAGAGACTCCTTGACTATCAAGGGCTTCCAAGACTGCTTCTATCGTAACTGAATCAAAGACCTTCTGTAAATCGACGAAAATGAGACAGAGCGGTCTTTTGTACTCTCGCGATACTTCAATGAGCCGTGTTACCATTACGAGTTACGTGTGGATGTGGTCCATCGTACTAAATCCTCTTCGAAACCCTGCTTGCTCACATGGCTGTCCTTCGTCTAGTGTTCTGTGAATCTTGTTTAGGATGCCTCGAGTGAAAAGTTTGTAAACGACAGACAGTAAGCAGATTGGGCGACAATTGCCGATATCGTGCAGGTCACGCTTCTTGAACAATAACACTGTCTTGTTGGTCTTCTACTGAGTAGGAACCTTGCATTCGGACAGGTAACGAGCCGAGCCAGTGTGTTTACGAAGACTGGCTGAAGAATCTTCAGGTGTTCTGGTCTTATCCTGTCCGGACCTGGTACTGATCGATTTTTAACCGACGAAATGGCATGTTGGATCTCGGAGAGGAGAACCGGTGGTACAACATATCCATCCTCTACTTCATATAACGGAAGATGGACATGGCTATCGAAGAGAACCGAGTAGTATTCGTAAATGATTTTCTCCATCGCCTTTCTGGACACTGTAACTGTTCGGTCTGGGCACCGGAGTGAGATCATTTTAGTCTTGTAATTGGCGAAGCTTCGGCCAGCTTTGCGAATGCTTTTCCCAGCCTCTGCAGCTTCGACCATTACTGCTGCTCTACTCTCTTTAAGATCTTTTATCGCCTATCTGCATTGTTTTGCAAGTTCGGACGTTAGTGTTTCTGGAGACAAACGTCTCTTGGCGACTTTCGAACTCTGAGTTTTCATAGCGCTAGCGTGAAGATGTTGAATGAGCCGATCGAATTCTTCGTCGATGTTATCGACAACGGCATCTTCCTAACAGTCGACTAATGAATTGAATAAATCCCAGTTTGTGGTGGCTCTGGGACTTCGGTTTTGGAATTTAGTGGCTTTTTCTCCTTTTCGCGAGAAATAGAATCTTGCACGAAGGAGACGATGGTCTGATCCCGTGTAGAATTTTAGGACAACAGCGACATCGGTTAGGCAAAACCTTCTAAGTACTATGGTATAGTCTACTTCGTTATGGTTCTCCCCATTGGGAGACTCTCACGTCCATCGCTGATGGTGGGGCTTCCGAAATTGCGAGTTACCATGGATTGTCTTGGTCGCCATGATAAACTCAGATAGCCGTTCACCTTGTTCGTTCCATTCTAATCCGTGGGTCACAATGTGACATTCTCCTTGGTCCAATCTTGGCGTTGAAATCTACAATGATGACCTTGAAGAATGTGTGGTCTTCTCTGTAGAACTTCTCCAAGTCCATATAGAACGCTTCGACTTCTTCTTCCTCATACTTTCTCAAATCTTAATTCTCTAAATCCAATATTTTATTTCCTTTCCCAAAACTTGGGTTACTTAGAAATATCTCAAAATTCGAGTTTTGAACAGAATTTAAGACTTTGAAAAAGGTCCAATGTATTCGAGAAATCGTTGCTACTGGAATACCGCGGCTGCAGCGAGTTCATCGGAACAGCTCGTGGATGGCGAACTCATCAGGAACAACAATAACCATGATACCTAACGTCAATAAAAAGGAACAAACTATGAACAACTAACGTCGGTATTAGAAGTCCCCATGGTACCAGCGTACTGAGCGCAAGATAAACAATATCTGCATGGGCATTTTTAGTGAAAGCGGAGAAATGTGTGGAGCAAAACCACCAAGTGAAAATTCCGATGGAATGAACAACCAGTAGTGAGCGTGGTAAAGTAACCGACCTTAGATATGTCCAGTCACGATAAGCCTAAAACACCGCACTTTATAATACATTTTCGGCACGAATAAAAATACAAAATAGGAAAAAATTTTAAAAACCTAAAAAAAATTGCAAAAAGACATAAGGAGCACTCTAAATCGAAATCTTTGCAAACAACCTGTTCAAGAAATCAAATGAGCAACCGCCCACATAAATGACTCACAAAAATTAATAACGGTAGAAGTACACCTCCGATGATCGGCATAAAATAAGCGATCGAAACAAAGTTATCCGGAGAGGCAAGGATGTACCTTTAACTTCATACCAATTTAGTTCCATAAATAAAATAAAGCAGCATCTCATTTTTTATTTACATCTCTAAAGCTAAGTTTATACATAGAACACAACCTTCTCTGAATCGTTCTGCTACATATTTTTACGTTCTCTCAAAGTTCTAAACACAGTTCTTAACGCTTGACGCTAAAGGAAATGACAACTAGTTACTAAACAATAAATAATGCAGTAGATTTGAAACAATGGAGAAAGACCTCACAGGAAATAGCTCTGATGAAAGCGCTCTAGAACGTTATTAAGCGACCTTGCGATAGCTTCCAACAATCGAGTAGATTGTCGCAGTGGATAAGCTGTCAACGATGGAGCTACTACCGTAACAGCCTGAACATTAAGCCCGTCTCAACATGAAAAACAATTGCCCTAGTTTTCAAGTCAGCGAAAACATTAAAAGATAAAAAAGATACAGCTCTAGGCGTTGATCGATCCCTGAGGGAAGTGCAATGCATTCGACTTCACTAAGCATCATTGCTGGTGACCAAATGCATATATGGCTTATACATTGACTTGCGGTCGTTCGCCGATGTATCGAACCAGTGCTGCAATCCTTGGTGGGCTTGGGGTGCGGAGATTGATCCCGTATGTATTGCGGGGCGTCTTTGACCACTGCGCTATGCGACCCTCAGACTCACCAAGAAAACGATAAAACATTAGCTATGATAAAACTGAATAATGGGATAGTAAAAACAACACGATTACCTGTACTCCGTACTTGCCCATGACACTATGAAGGCCTTCAATCGCGACGAACGCTTGAGTATACATCGCGCGTAACGGCACCAAAAAATGCCAGTCCTCACCGCCCTGGACATGAGTACCGGTCGGGTCAGTTTTAAAAGTGCGCACTCCACAACCAAATTTATTTAATGATATCTGGCCTTAACGCACAAGAAATCTATTTGTTCAAGTTATGTAAAAAAAGGAACGAACATATATCCCTTAAGGACTATTAGAGTTAACATAGTGGAACAGCTCACCATTTCTTCATCGCGAACGTCGTATACAATGGATTGTAAAGCGAACGTTCCTTTTCCAGCAATTCTCACCACAGAGTTAAAAAGATCCAAATTTGGTAACTGCCCATTGAGATGGTTTAGCTCAAGCAAAACGAAAGGCTCTCTGGAGGTCTTCAAGGTACGGGTCTAAATGAAATAAAGTGGCAATTTTCAAGCGACCGAATCACTATTCAATACTACTATGATATTCAAAAAGCCACATTGTTGCTAAGATATTTGTAAAACTTAGAACCCATACCAGATTCGAACCCGCGACCACCCTTTCCGAGGGCTAACGTGCTACCCACCGCATCACTTAGGCAATTGCTTTGTCTTTTTTTAACCCAGTTTTTACCCTGAAAGTGCCATCAGCAACCACCCGTCAACGAGAATGATCTGGTGAGCCCAAATCAGCACTGAACCCAGTTAAGCTGAGGCTGCAGTCAAAGTCACAGCGTATAAATTTTTATTTACTACCTACTATTGTTTCAACATAATACCCTACTAAAAAGAAAAAATAATGGGTAAACAATGAAAAGTTACACATTATTCAATCAGTGCCTAAACCGAAAAATATGTTAGGATTGAACGACAGCAATCGAAAAATGATGAAAAACAAAAAAAATGGAAGAAGAAACGTCTGAGAGAATAAAAACAAAGAAAAGAAATGTATGAAAAATAAAAAAAAAATGCATAACTACCTTTATAACAATCCCACCAACCAACACACCACCCATTTCATGCAAAGAATGAGAGCATAGTGCGGTATGCTGGACAAGATGATACTGAGATAACCAGGCATCCATTCCTGCGGCTCCGCCATCGACGAACACGAAGAACAAATCGCGCGCCCAGTAGATCTGTTCTGGAATCTCTGACTATTCAGAAACCGCATTAAACCATTTCAGTGTGGATATGGCCAATAGTAATTCTGCCTCTGTAGTTTAACCCACGACGGATAGCGATACCAACTGAGTTCAATGCGTTCCTGGAAGATAATTGCAAACGAATACACACCCAGTGAACATCATTAAATGAAATAAAAACTATTCGAATCTACAACTTTTCGCCAACATAACAACTGTATTCCGAAAGGATAAAATTCCACCTTTTTCTTGGAGCCCAAGAAAAAATATTTTTTCCTCTTTTCTCTTTCTTCTAGGCTCTAGAGCGGCAAAGCCACTGAACAAGGGGGATTTGCCCTGAAGGATCCTATGAGGCCGCCTGTTGTCGCAATTTTAGACAAAACTTTGAAATTTAAACATGAGCGAAATTTCCACATTTTAAAATGCTAAATCTTCAAAGTCTAGATGAATAAAAACATTAAGGTGACACTCTTAAAGCCATGAGGTCCCACGGAGTGGGTTAGAAATAATCCTAAATTTCATATTCACTTAAGTACAGGGCGAATATGCTCACGAATCAGTAGGTAAAGTTGCTAGTTTAGGAAGGAATTTAAAAGTGTTAATACAGAGTACGGAGTACACAAAGGAAATTTTTATGCTCACGGACAAAATATCAAGTGAGTCGAAGAGCTATAACGAATAGTCGAAGGCCGGCTGTCTCTGTATGCCCGGCTGTTTCAGCAACAGTTTTCAATCAAAGAAGTTCCAAAAACTTTAAAATTGTTAGTAAAAACCAAAAGCTCGACAAATGAGCACGCCATATAATGAAAGCGTGAAAAGTTGAGGCAAAATCTACTACCGTGTTATATAAAAGAGGATAAACGATAAAGCTACCTGTTTTGATCAATACCTGAGAGATGCGCCACGCATTCGAGTTCATTAAGCAGTGCCAGAGATGACTGAATGAACATAAGCCTATAGAGCGACTAGCGGTTGCCTACCGATTTATCAACTATGTGCTGCTACCTTCCCAGGGAAGTCTGGTACTCATTTCCCGACCCCGGAGGGATGGAGGGCCTGGTGTGCCTGGGGCACGAGGATCGATTCCATATGTATTGCAGAGGACTTACGAATACTGCGACACACGAACCATGTTTTACACCACCACAGAATCATTCTAAAAGAACTCTGCCACCGCCTTCGTTTAATTCTATCGTTATGATACTGTGCGGGTTAGTAAAATAAAATCTTTAGTCTGAAATAAAACATCGAAAAGAAGAAAAGAAGCTACAGTATAAAAAGTGGACATCATAGTAACACCTTAGTGGATTAATCCTGAAGACAAACAGGAGTAAAAACAGAAAATATAACTAACGTCTCGCAAACGCAGCATACGCCATTACCATGGCTGTCGCTTCTCTTTGTGAAAGATCGACGGCGAACAACATCGCCTCAACACCAGTGGCACGAGGTGCACGAATCACAGCATATGTGTTGGTGCCTGATATATTCTGAAACCTTCGCAACAGTGAATAAATCACAGAAAGTATAAACGAAGAAAAGTTAAAAACAGCTGTTGCACTGCTTTAGTATTTCTAGCACTAATAACAATAGTAATAACAACAGCAATAATGAGTGGTCGTAACAACAAGACATTTTTTTTACAAGACCCATCCGCACATCTGCTGGGTGGATTTCAGCATTTCTTGCATTTGATTCGCATCCTCCCATTCAGAACGCACTAAGGTCTTCGAGATTATCGTGTGTAGGTTCGCCTGCTGCTTGAGGATTGTCTTCGTTACGGATGTTATCGAATGCTGATCGAGTCGTTTCATCTTCGAGTTTTGAGAGTTCCGCACTAGAATGTCCCCACTTGGATCCCAGGCAATGAACATTCGCTAAGCAAATCTAGCACCAATTTCCCGACCGTGTAGGAGTGACTGGTTTAGTGTGTTACGGGCGCGATCAAATCAGTACAGTGCTCGTCATGAGCACTATCACTGCCCTAAACACACTCTAATAATAATAATAACAACAATAGTGATGATAAAAATGATGACTAGCGATGGTAACAACAATAACAATAAGTAGTAATAAATGATCGACAATAAAACCAAAGATAACCAAATAACAGTAGTCTTAGAGATAAAAGTCAAACATTCGCGCACCGACTGGTCCAGGTCTGCGTCGATATTTGCATTTGGTGGGCAATTTAGCTTAAATACACTAATTGGAGATTTACAGCTATACAAAGGGTCAGTGTACTCTTAAAATAACAACAAAAGGCATGGTGAGCTGTGGCGTGGAGATCGGCCCCATGTGTATTGCAAGGCGCCTTCGACCTCTGCGCTACAAACGCAAAAAAAATAAAACGTGACAATCGTTGCAAAGGACAACAAAAAGGAAACCATCTAAATATTCCACCTTTAATAACAAAGTCCTAACACTTAATGAAAGAAACCTCACCATTACTCTTGTCGTAGACCACCATCTCTGAGTATGACATAACAATCCAGCGCGTTTCATTTTCTCACATATAAAGTTTTGCCTGCTGAAATTCAGTTACATTTAAGACGCCATTTTGGGACTTCCGCATCCTTTTCTTACTGTCTCCTTCATTTAAAGTTTTCATTCTAACTGTGGAATTAAGCAGTTCCGATCTCTAACGGAATGAACGGTATCATCGTGGATAGGTGCCCTGGTTCTTGAGCTGCAATTTACAGCGGAGGGATTCATCATCACATCAACAGGACCTCCCAAGCTGAGAGGGAGTCTGGCGTTTCCATTAGGAAGCCCAGCTAAGAGTAAACCAATAACAGAATCCACCACCTTCTTGGTGTCAAACTAGCCGCATGGTGGCAAATCTCCGTCTGACCCACAAGTGCTGCAACTGCCCGTGGTGGTGAAGACCTGGGAACAGACTTTTCCCAAGATAACCTCGGGACTCCGGGAGATCTCAATGGCCAATCTAGCAAAACTCCGAAAAACGGGAAATTTTGTTGGGGTCTGCACAACAAGTGAAGATGGGCCATCCAAGTATCCAAGTAGGTAATGGCATGAAGTAATCACCATACACCATAATAACTCACCTAACCTCAATTTATGTGACCCACCGACTGACTTATATTACCGATGTGTTAGACTTACCGTTTATTTCCAAACAATCTTTCTCTACATTTGATGACAGAGTTTTTTCGCGACTTCATATAGAGATTTAACTACTTAAGAATGAGTCTCAGTAATTTAGAGGCATTTTGAGCATCGCGTAGTAACCAGCATACAGGACTGCTAGTTCTTCCACGGCTGTATTGCTAGAAAAGATTTCAATGACTTACTCTGAAACTTTTGAACTCACTCCGAATTAATGCGAAGACCCTGTAGATACTCGGCAGCCAATCCGTCTTTATCGAATTTTTCAGTTACTAAGCCTGGCATTAGTGCGTGCTCACTGATCCTAAAGAGCACTAGTCACCGACAAAGTAATCTTAGTAGATAATCTAACCATGCAATTGTATTTTGCTTCCCTAATTTAAGAACAAAGCTTATGTACTCGAACAAAACCTAAGCTCCACGTGTAAGAAAATAACTGCAATTAAACCCAACGTTCACTGCAACCTGCTTTGGAAAGTTACACTGTCAATATTTAACACACCTCGTATGTTCAGCGTTATGGTAGTCCAAAATGAATGAAGCATAGTAGAGGGCAATGCTGTATGAGATTATTCCCCAAACACCTGGTCGGTCAAGAATTCGCTGAAGCAAACGGTGCCGTTGCCCTGAGGACGTGACCAACGACCTCATCGTCAGAGTCCAAGATGGCTCACAACCACCTCGGAGACGTGCTATAAAACTTGAACGATATCTTATGCAAGTATGAGAATGTAATATCAATCTTCACTGTTACTACGACTGATGAGAGACGTTAGAAACCTGCTAAACCATTTATTACAAATATGATGCAGCACTACCACATACCAGCATTATAAGTTACCTATAATGGTATGTATGAGTCACTAAAATGACTCGCAGGCACCAGCAAACATACACTACTTCTCTTGCCCGTTGTTGCGTCCACTATCAAATGACCAACCTACCGATAGCAGACTTTGTTCAAGTAGGTTCTGAACATAGAGCATAGAAATCACAATACCAACCTTTTATTTTCTAGCTGTAACAATTTTTCACGGCAGTGTATAGGGGAAATGCAGTCACAAGATGCTGAAATATTTGCAAAACTCTGGACCGCAGGTGTCTGCAGCGGGGATCGAACGCGCACTAACCCCTTCCAGGGCCAACGTGTTCACCACCACACCATGCGAATTCTTCGTTCCGCTTCTTTCAGTTGTGTGAAAAAAGGACCCGCATGGTGTGGTGGTAAATGCGTTAGTCTCCGGAAAGTGTAACTGCGGGTTCGATCCCCACCGCAAAGACATGCGGTCCGTAATTTTGCAAATATCTCAGCACCATTATAGAGCATAGGATAGAACCTCTTAACATCAATAACGCTGTTTGGTAAACTATAACGTTATAATCAGAATCGCTCATTTTTCTTTTCTTCGCAAATAATGAGTATAGCTGTATTACACGCACGCAATCAACGACCTAAACTAAGTTAAGAAAAAAGCAGTGATTTCAGTAACAACTGTACGACCTTATTTTCGAGATAAATATGGACATGCAGTGCTAAAGTACTGCTTAAAGGACAGAGCAGGCTTAACTCAATACTTTCCCATATATTATCGTGAAGGTTCTCTCCTTAGAAAACACCTGATACACAGATCAAGTACATATTTATTCACTCTACAATATAGTTACTATTGATTTCTTAAACATGTTCAAAGGTATAAGAGCACACGAAAACATCTTGCAGGAAACAATAAAGTTAACCCGTTAGAGAGAATGGAATTAGCAACCACGACGATGAGCCTTCAACAAGGGAGATTCGTAGAGTCGTTTTAACACAGCTTCAAAAAGACTCCTGTAATGGATTGAAAGTATTTACGCCTAGGATTTCAAACAACAGTGGACAGTGAGTGCAGTGTACAGGACGAACAGAAGAGTATTTAAGCACCGAAGCACTGGCCAATAACTCTAGTTATGAATAGAGAAGATTGCATAAAATACCGCGTCATCGGTACAATTTCTAATACAACATATTCACCAATGAGCGGGAAAATTTACCTAACCGAGATGACACATTTCGTCTTCAGCGCTCCATCATAGTTACTCAAGCATCTTATGAGTACCGATTACATACACAGGATGCGTATTGAAGTGGTACGAAGCGACCGTTCAGCACTATGGGAATTTTTGCTCTATGGGTGGCATTTGTTCTTTGCAAATATTTATACCTAGCCTAGAATTTCACTTGAGAAACAAATTTAGAAATCAGTTCCATACTACACAGAGTATTCGAAGGCAGGTTTGCTGACGTACGGTTCCACAAGCGGGTTTAGCCATCGAAGTGAACATGGACCACCAAACACGGACTGCATATTCTTCTTCCATGACAACACCTTTTGTCGATCTTCACTTCCGCTGAGAAAAAAGGAACTTAGCAGGAAAACAACAAACGATATTTCAACAATGTGGATGATTTAGGGAAATGTCATAAACCTATGTCATAAAGCTTCACTACTATAGCTAACAAACCCTAAATTCTTAGAGAACTGCAGAAATTCGGTCTTTAGAATGTTCCAAACAGTGTGAAGTTGATCATAAAATAACAAAAAATTTGACTTCTTTACCGTTTTAGAGATTCTATTGCAGTCTCGTCACTACAAATTGCTGATAGTTGTGTACCGAACATGACCGACGTAAAGATAGCAAAAAGAATCGCCTCGAACATCAGAAAGATCTGAAAATTGAATCTTATAGAAGTACTATTTGAAAATCTGCATGATCAAGTGCTGGTTCAACAAGTTCCCATTCTAAGCACTTCTTGAACAATTGCTAAAGAAGGTGTTAGGTTTAATGATTGCTAAGTAAGAGAAAGTAGACCTATCAATTGGAAACGTGGAAGGCCCGTCATCACTGGACCCAGAATAATCTCCATTTTTCGGAGTTTTGCAGGTTTAGCCATTGTGGTTCCCTGAAGCTCCGAGGTGAGTCCAGCCAAAGTCTGCCCCAGGTCGTTACCACCACATGCAGTCACCACCCTTGTGGATTAGAGGGAGATTTGCTACCACGCGACTAGTTTGTTACCAGAACGGCGATGGATCCAAGTAATGCTTTACTCTCAGCTGGTCTTCCCGATGGAAGCGCCGGACTCCTCAGCTTGGGAGACCCTGCCGAGAGGGCGAATCTCCTTGCTGTACATCGCAGTCCGACGCCCAGAAACACCTCACGGTGACGATGAGGTTCACGTTATTTAATCGTTCTACGATGAGGTACATATCTGCTCATCATCTCGCCTCTCGGTCCTCACACAAAGAGTGCGCTTATACGAAACATGTTTCGAACAGCCACCAGTGTGGACAGGAGGACAGCAGACAGGAATCTAGCCATCTCCATTGGCTACTAAACTGCTGCTCGTCGGAAAACGTATACAATAAAACTCAAACACCCAAGCGAAAAATCTAGTAGTAAGGTCCCGCTTATCCTACCCTTCATTTGAAATTAAATATCTGCAGCTATAAAACGTTGACTAAGAAGGGGCACTCTAAGACAGAAGCTAGTTTGCAACCTGTATGACCATTCATGTAAAAGCTCTAAAAAAGCTCTCGGCGTTGATCAATCCCTGAGGAATGCGGCATGCACTCGACTGCAACAAGTATCACTGGGGGTGGTTGAATGCATATCTGGCCTTTACAATGACTCGCGGTGGCCTAACGATGCATCGAGCCAGCGCTGCTATCCTCCTAGACAAGTCTGGTACCACTTTGCCGACACCGGAGGGATGGACGGCTTGGTCAGCCAGGGGCGCGGGGTCGATTCCTCGTGTGTGTCGCAGTGGCGCCTCCAACCACAGCGCCACACGCGACCATTCATGTACAATGCAAAATCGTATTATATGGGGCTAACGATAGAAGTGGTGATTGCATTAGTTTGGGCACAGTTTAGCCGATCTCTCGTAAAGGGTGCGAGGACGAATCCATTGGTGGAAAAGGTAGACCATTCTGAAGATACAGGAAAATCTCTGGGTTTTCCGAAAACTGTGCAAAACGTTTTTTAGAAAGGACAGGTCTCGATAACACAGTAGTAGTGATTTAAATACCACCGAGCATCCTAAAAAGCCGGTTAGTTGTTAACCGCCTCGTTTATCTGATGTGTTGCAAAGGGTGCGGAGATGAACACATTGGCGAAACGGGTAGACCACTCTGTGCTCTTATAAAAGAACACCTATTCGGTAAACTTAAGGTTAAAGCAAACATTCTACTAGGCGCACAAAGAGCACAAAGACACAACGGGGAAAATTTTAGTAGAAGTTGCCATCCTCCCACAGGAATCGAAATCACCAGCGCGCGAAACTCTCGAGGCATTCTGGATAGACTCCAAGAATCCGAAAATGAAGCGTAAGGAGGAAGGCCTCGTAATCATACTTAATCCCACACAGTGTTTAAGACTGATATGTTCCCATGTGAACTCTCCGCGGTTGGTCTACACGTGAAATACTCAGCGGAGGACTTGTAGAAAGCGGTGAGTGTGCGGAAGAAGCTGCTATTTTGTTTTCAATGCGAATGATACCTTGGTTTAGCACTTTCTCTTTTTGGTTATGGAGGGACTTGGTTAGATAGATTGCAGTCAACTTGATCTCTCCAGACTCTGAGGAAGGCGAAATCCACTGAACGTAGGCTTCTTCGTAAATAAAGAATGAATTAACACCTAGTACTTACTTAACAAGAATATGGAATCACTTGAAAAGAATAACCAGTACTTTTCTACATGATCCAAATGAAAAGAGGTTTGCATAAAAAACTTCTATCCGGCTAAAGTTTCGGTGCATTCACTTTTTCGGAGCGGCGTTGATCCTAGTCGACGGTCCGAACCTGGTCGCTAACCGAATACAAGCTTTTTGTACCAACCTCGTGCCAGTTCAATCATGTAGAAAATTATTGGATAATTCTAGTTCTTTTTGTCGATAACTTCACCACCTTCTGATGATAGCTTAGCCATTTGTACGCCTTGGAAAACTACACATCTTTCCGATTTCACGAAGACTTATTCATATCTTGTAGTGACATGACCTATTCTTTCTACTATTCACTTGGTCTTACCATTTCAATGCATTGCACAAAGGTTTAATGACAATTCTGAGACCTACAAAGTAGAAGTGATGCAATAAGCTGTGAGAAAAAACAATAAAGTCAAATATTTTGCACTACTTGGTAAACGAACACAGAGTGTGGATTCCAAGAGATCTCCAAGCATATTTCACAAAGATTACTGACCGATTAGACAGCTAACTTCTTCATAAAGATCTTAGAAAAAAAATATGAGAGAAAAAGAAAGCCTACCGGTGCATTATCAACGTGAGGCTGGATGAAAGATCAATCAGCGTTAAAAAACGAAGGGATGATGCTAAGAATATTCCTCATCACGTGTGAGAGAGGGAATCCGAAGTCTCAACTTACGTTAACGGTTAAAGATTAAAGACGAAGTTCTATACGCGAAACTGTCAGAGACAAAGTGGGCCTCACACGTAATGCGTATGAACGACCGATGGACAAGAGCCGTTAATGGCTGGATTGTCAGTATGTTAAAGGAACAGCATGAAGACCCTTCACCCGATGGTCAGAGTTCTCTACGAGAGCCTTTGAAGAAACATATGATGCTCTACAAGTTCCCAGAGCGAGAAGAACCCCTGTGATACTCTTGCGAGCGACAGGAAAAAATAGAATGTTTAGTGGCACCCAATAATGGGACGACAGGTGATACAGGTGATATCAACGCAAGCGTATATGAGTCAGATGGTACCAAACTGTGACGCATGCAGAATTCTGCAAAACGATTTGATGGTCAAAATGATTACTGACCACTGTCGCGAAACACTGGTTCAACTGCAGCAGAACGCTTACATAATGGGATAAAAGTCACTGGTGGCTAAATGGTGGTTCCAACTTTTAGTTTTTATTTAATGATCTTAGTGCGCAGGAAAACGTTCCGAAAGTTAATCGAAACAGTCAAGAATACAGATGTCATTTGAAAGACTATTGGTACGCCAAAAGACCAAACAAGAGAACAAGGTAATAGGTGTGCCACTACAATACATCAGTGGTGTCATGAAGACTGTAAATAGAACAATGACAATCATTCCATTCGAACATGTTTAACAAAATGGTTCAATCGTACTTAGTGTTTTTCTTATGGCCATATTTCACCTGTGCTCGTATATGAATCTCAAAATCCACACAGGAGAGCGACACGAAAACTGGTAAAATCGCCACTTGACTATCGTAGTACACGGATCAACCAGTCCGTGTGCATTCAATACCATACATATCAGTCACGAAAGTCAAGAAAATTTTAGGACTATTTACACAGTTGTATCAAAGAAAATGGAATGCTACGAGAAAAAATGTTGTAGTAACTCTCTTTAAAGGTTCTGAACTAGCCTAACCACTAGCATACGTACCTCTTATAGCAACATTTCTTTAGGAATCAAATAGTAATGCAGTTTATTTCTACATTTGCTCTAAGTAAACTTCTTCTAAAATAAGGTACTGACAATGCAATAGAACGGAAAAAAAGTCAAATTGCCAAAACGGCTGCTCAAAAAAAGGATGGACTCATGTATTCTAAAGTGCTACTGTGTGTGAGGTACCTGACAAAGGCACTATTTGCAAACTCCATTACCTTCCTCAAAGGATTAGGCAGATCTGTATAGAAAAAAAACTGTTAATAAACATCCTCTTCAGAATGTTGTGGTTAACGTAAGATTTAGAAACAACCAATTCCAAGCTTTACAAGAGCTCCAACAAAACGTACCAACATTAACGTCGTCCCCGGTGGACCAAGATTACTACAACTTTGCCACTCCTTCCCGACACAGAGCAGAAACTGCCAGATACCCCAATAAAGGGCATGGAATGACAACAGTGCGATGTACAACTAAATGTCATTCCTTTACACAACCGTACAATAACAATATGAGAAAAGCATAATGGAAACAATTATATTAAAGTGCAAAAAAATTAAAACATTTAGCAATTCCCACGACCGACGTCCTGTTAATTTCGGCATTGATCAAGTTATTAAGTTTTCATTTGCTGTCTATTACAATTTTGCACGGCAAGGTATTATGTGTGATACAATCATAACGATGCTGAAATATTTACAAAACACCAGGTGTTTGTAGTAGGGAACGAACGAGCTATTAGCCTTTCCGGGTGCTAAGGCGTTCACCACCACACCATCCGGGTCTTTCGTTTCACCTTTTACTAAGCCAGTTTTTCTTCCTTTTCTTTCTTTTTTTTTTCAATTTGCACATTCTTTTTCCTCACAACTTTGGCCAAAAAACTGGATCTATGGATAAAAGATTCAACAACAATTCAGTGGCTGAATAACTTTAAATATATTATATAATGGAAATCTACAATAGATTAGACATCATCAAAGATCGAGTTCACAATATTAAAATATAGGGCACTTGTCAATACAATTCACTCTATATCGATGTTCTATATACCTTGGATACTTGGATCGGAGTTTTGCTGGTTAACACACTGTGGTTCCCTGGAGTCCCGAGGTCAGCCTAGTCAAAGTCTGCCCCAGATCGTCACTACCACAACGCGACTGGGTTGATACTAGAACGGTGATGGATCCTGGTATTGGTTTACAGGATTATATACCACTTAGGACTTAGAAATTGTAATTCATCATACTACGCTAGTTTGTACGACATTTCCATCTTCAAATACACTCAATCCACTTGTACTTATAAACGAATCAACACAGTATTCGAAAACTTTTTGTACAAGTGGAAAGTGGATGTAACGCAGCAATACTCATGAAACATTAATTACCAATTTTGGGACATTCTCGTCAACGAACGAACCATCGTTGGTGCGATATTTTAAATCTCGATATAGAAGCTTCGAAAATAATGACCCGACTATTTACTGGACTATCGTTGAAATCAAGGACTTAAAGACAATGGTCATGTGGCATCTCAAAAAAACATCTTGAGAAACAGAACAAAAGTCACGTGTGCACATTATAGTTATTCTCAGCATTTCGATATAGTCAAATAAAAATCTTCACAAGATCCTATTGACTGAAAAAAGGACCAACTCAGCTACATGAACATAGATACGCCGTGCATTCAACTTCATTAAGCATAATTAGAGTTGATTGAATGCATGGCCTATACAAGTACTCGCAGTGGCCCACCGATGGATCGAGTCAGTGCTGCTACCCTCCCAAATAAGTTTCGCCCTAATTTGTCGAACTCGGAGTCATGGAAGGTTTGGTTAGCCTTGGTCACTGAAATCGATCCCATGTGTATTGCAAGGCGCCTCAAACCACTGCGCTACAGGCGCACCTCTCCGTATACACACAATTCCCATATACATTTATATACGTACATACATACATATATATATATATATATAATATAATAGCACATAGTAACAAATAAGACCGCATGTTGCGGAGTGATTAGAGGCGCTCTGCAATACATACGGGATCGATCCCGCGTCTCAGGCTCGCTAAGCCTTTCATTCATCCGGGACCGGCAAATCAGTACGAAACTTGCTCGGCGGGATAGCAGCAGTGGCTCGCTACATCGGTAGGCCACCGCCAGTCACTGTATAGGCCAGATATGAATTCAATCAACTCTAACGATGTTTAATGAACCCGAATGCACTGCGTATCTTTCAAGGATTAGTCGACTTAGAGGCCTTACCCTTTTATCCTTCATAGTAACATATATACGAGGGATTCGGATTCCACATCATTCTTGAACGGTCGGTTACTTTTTCATTCCTACCTTCGTTTCTGATTTCGGTTTTAACATCTCTCCAAATCAGCTAGTAGGAAGACCGAGCGAAGGATTCGTCGCCGAAAACACAGCTCCCTCAGTTCGCATCGTGCTGAAGACCTAGATACGCCCTTGTAAGGTTAAATCAGGACTCCAGGGAGGACCAAGTTGCACGACCAGCAATAGGCCAGCCTCAGTACCCCGTATAGTGGGTTCCCCCGTCTATGACGCCAGGCGGTGAGACGACCAGTGAGAGACCAGAAAATCTCGGATTTCGCAGGATGTCATTGGAACTGGATCTGACGAACACACGCACTACACGCCATGGACATTATTTCTTACTATGCACGTATAATGCCAGAACACTCTTCACAGACGCCGATCTTCACGTCCTTCTTGTAGCCGCAGGTATCATTAAATTTCATGTGATCGCATTGCAAGAAACAAAAATCAAGAAGACCGACATATGCCAACTAAACAACGAGACTCGTGTGATCCATGGAGACAAGGTACCGTCACGAAATGTCGGCGGAGTAGGCTTTGACGTCCACCCGTCCATTGGCCATCTCGTCGACTCATACGAGATCCTTTCTCCTCGCATAGCCGTCCTCCGTCTTTAACTGTCGCATCATAAGAAGATCACTATCATCAACTGCTACTCACCGACCGACGCGGCTGTTGAGTACGAAATAAATGGGTTCTACTATCAGCTGGAGAAAGTCATCCGCAATGACAAAGCACATCATAAATTTGTTGTTGGAAGCTTCAACGTCAGAATAGAAAAGGGCAACAATAGCGAATGCAGGATCGGAAATTTTGGAGAAAGAAATGAGAATGGGAACCGCCTCTTAGGACTCCTTTAAGCAGCACGTCTCTTCCATAGAAACTCGTTTTTCCAGAAGAAAGCCGCCGCTGGACATAGGAGTCTCCCAACGGCATCACTCATGCGGAGATTGACCACGTTCTGACAAACAGAAGACGGTGCCTACTTGATACATCGGTAGTCCCGTCATTCTGTCCTGGTTCCGATCACCGCCTTCCTCGCGCGAAGATTCGATCCAACCGTAAGCTGGAAAAGAACTCTCTTCATCGACCAGGAGGAAAAAGTCTAGCTGTATACGAAGAGAACATTCTGAACGAAGTCCTATGCAAACGTAACTGGCAGATTAAAGAAGACCTGACCGAAGACTACGAGCTGCTTCTCAAAGGACTGAAAAGCTGTGCCGAATTCGCCGCAGCTCCTCAAGCAAGAAGATTGGGTCGTATCTCCATCACTACTAAGGAGTTGCTCGAAAAGAGAAGGAAACTGAAGATTGATCCTACTGCAACACGTTTAACATAGCTAGTAATAAATTCCTGCTGCAGAAGAGCTTTGCAAGATGTACAACGGTACAAGCAGAAGAAACTAATGGAAGCAGCAGAGAAAAGAACCAGTCTGAAAAAATTCCGTCGGAGCTTGTGTGATTCATTGTTAGTCCTAATGAACGAAGATGGGATCGTCAAAACTTCCCACCGTGATATGGAATTAATAGGGGAAACGTTCTGCACCAACCTTTCCCGTCCCACAACCCCCGTCCCGGACCCTAATATCCCCGCTGGAGAAAAGCTACCTGGAAGGAGGTTCGAGTTGCAATAGAAAGCATGAAAAGAGGCACAGCTCCAGGACCTGATATTATCACTGCCGAATTCCTTAGAGCTGGAAGCCACAATTTACATGAACTTTTCGCAAATCATATGACAGTCTACCTTCCAAAGCAAAAAATCCTAGACCAGTGGAGGACGTCGCGCACGGTCATCCTGCCTAAGAAAGAAGACCAAAGGGATCTTCGTAACTATCGTACCATATGCTTGTCGAGCGTACTCTACAAGGTCTTCACGAAGATTATCCTCTCACACATATCACGGATATTGGATGAGACGCAACCAGTCGACCAAGCAGGATTTCGAAAAGGATTTTGCTGCATGGGCCACATCCAAACCGTGTCCAGGGTCGTCGAAGTTTGTCGGGAATACCAATTGTCTCCAGTCCTAACTTTTGTCGACTATGAAAAACCGTTTGCCAAAGTAGAAACGAATACAATCCTATCAGCGTTCGTCGACCAAGGAGTGGACCCGTCCTACATAAGGACTCTGTCCAACTGTTATCGGAACTGCACTACGAAAACACAGATTTTCCATCGACCTCTTATCATACCCATAGGAAAAGGGGTTCGGCAGCGCGACACAAAAAGCTGTTCAGTGCCACACTGCAGTGGATAATGAAATCACTCGATTAGGATGAGAAAGGCATACATATTGATGGAATATTCCCATCAAACCCTCGTTTTGCAGACGACACTGTCATCTTCTCAAGAAATGCCAGCGAATCAGAGACGATGACCAATGAGCTCAACGAAGTGGGAAAGAGGATCGGACAACGTATTGGTTGGAAGACGACCCAGTTCATAAAAAACCCATGGTCCCATGCGAAAAAATTGAATTGTATAGATCCTTGATTGCAGAGGCCAGCTCATACGTATACCTTGGGCGACCAATGAACATGGAAAATAACATGAAGGAAGAACTAGACAAAATAAGGAGAGCAGTTTGGGCCGCATTCGGGCCTCTGAAAGAAGTCACCGACTAATTGAAGGACCAGAAAAACCGCGCTCATCTCTTCGATTCTACGGTCCTCCCAGTGCTTTGTTACGCTGCAGAGACGTGGGTTGACACTTTAACCACGTCAAGAATGCTTCGCACTACTCACAGAACGCTTGAGCCATGTCTTCTGAAATATAGCCGGCACTCTCAATATCTAGCCGGAATGCGAAGCTCTGACCTTCGAAATCTGTCACATCTTCGAGATTCAGGAGAATATACATTGACAGCGAGACATAGATAGGCCGGTCACACAATGATAAGAACAGACGACAGGTAGACGAGAAGAACAGTAGAGTGGATTTCAAGACAATGCAAACGTCTCCTAGGACGACCGCCTACACGTTGGGCGGATGTGTTCGTAAACAAATTTTAATCAGCTGTACCCGCATCTGCAGTTGTTTACAGATCATGGTATGAGACTCGTAAGCGCTACTCCAAGTATAGTAACATATATAGTGTATGAGTGCATTATATACAATATATAACATAATCACGCAGTTTCATACTAGTGTATATGTATGTATACATGTTTGTATGTGTGTACATATATACATAACTATAATCTAGCTGTATACGAATATGAATATTACGTTGTAGAAATTCGATTCCCATTCAACTAAAGAATTCACGCCCCATATCCAGTAATACGACTCACTGTGAATAGTACGAAATACTTCTGATTAGCTTCCCCTACGCAGTTGTTCACCCATGGGCAGTGATGATCCATCCGACGAATACAACGATCACAAACTGAACAATGGTGGGCGCGGCGTGGTTTGATGCTGCAGCACTTTTGGCACTTATAGATTACCTACAAAAAAAAACTAGTACTCGTAATTCCAATTCAAGAAGTGGTGGACCAGAAAACGTTAGTGTGAAGGCTAATTTTTACTCTTAGTACGGTGGTTTAATTTTTTGCACACAAGCAATGCTACATCAAAAGCAGTTAAATGCATTCATTGGCAGTTCCCATGTTCAAGTCTGAAACTAGCAAAAAAATTCAAAATATCTAGTGATTTTCACGAAAATGCAGTAACCGCACACGATCCATTCGAGTATACCATCACATAGCGCTTGATAATATCTCGTTTGCTCTCAAAGGAAAATTTAAGGAAAAGGACCAGTTGTAAGCATCAAAAATTATTGATAATAACTTATAGACTACAGCGGACTTTATTCCAGTTGATAGATTCCGTAACTAGATCAAATTCTTTAGCATAAAGTTTGACGGTTACGATATTTCTAACCACGTATGATTTTACATCAATTCTATTTGTCCAGAATGTGTTGCAAATGCGGAGAAATTATTGTTCTATGACTACAGAGAAAGCCTTTTGGTCAAATTAGTATCGGTGTATCATAATGCCAAAAGGGATGAGGAAAGCGAATAATATGCATCTATTTTTAAAGTGATGAACGAGAGAAGTGAGTAATATAGGTGAGAAATGTGCCGAGCACCTTAAACTCTTCTGCAGCCTGTAGGCGCTCAATATTTTCTTCTGTTGCATTCCCTTTAGGAACAGAGCCCGGGTCCGTTAACATCGTCTGGAATGATCACACAATGACTAAATACCAATATAATCTGACTGATAATACTCAATATTTATGGTTACCTTTACATGGCTGAGAAGTGCCAGCACTGTTAGAGACTCAAACAACGCGAAATTAACTCCAGTGTGAAGCCAGTGCTCGTTATAGGAGTGTAGAAGCACCAAAAACACCACGGACTGGCTGTAGAGTATAAGCAGCCTGATAAAACGAAGATGTTTATGTTAGGTTACTTTCTCCACACCGATGACTACTAACGGCATAAAAGTCGGGGAACCCAAGCGCTAAATGATATCTAAATATTTTGCACAGTAGTGTATATGAGATCATATACTTAATGCACCAAAAATAATTCAGTTTCAAGAACTTTTAAAACGGTGGTGGGTTGCGCAGTGGTAGTGATGCCATTCACTACAAGCATGATGCTAGTCCGACCCCGCCTTAGGCCAACCAAGCCACTCATTTCTCCGGAGTCGGGTAATTGATTCCAGACTTATTTGCAAACAACTCTCCGCGGGTACGCTCAAGCACGACTATCCTATACACTCACAATGAAAACGAAAATTCTAAAGCAGCAATTGAAAGCACATGAAAAAAGTTCGAAGACCTTCATGGATGATGGATACGAGGAGCAGAATCAAATACAAAAAGTGTTGGGATCCGTAGAGTAGATGTGATAAGGAGTAATGTAAACTGAAGAAAACTTCTAAATAAACATATCTCACTTTTAGCTGGATTTTTGCAAGTAAAATAAAAGTTAGAAGCATATCATCATCAACAGAAACAAACTTCGTCGTTTTACCAATACCAAATTCATATTTTATGAGCCTATGATTAATTGGATAATTGGATGCCTCATCCTCACTGGTTGTGCGGGCACAGCATAATCTCCAATGCTTCCAAGTTTTGCTAGTATAGCCATTGTGGTTCTCTGGAGTCGCGAGGTCAGCCAGGCCAAAGTCAGCTCCAGGTGGTTACCACCACAGGCAGTTGCCGCCCTTGTGGATTAGAGGGAGATTTGCTACCATGCGACTTTGATATTAGGACGGTGGTAGATCCAAGTAATGCTTTACTCTTAGCTAGACTTCCCGATGGAAGCGCCGGACTACTTCTCGGCTTGGGAGACCCTGCCAGGAGGACGAATCCTCCGCTGTACACCACAGGTCGACGCCCAGGAACACGACGAGGCGGAAAACCGTTGGAGGCCCTGTACTATTTTTATAACGAATTGAAAACAGAAACAAGATGAAATCATATGTCCTCAGGTTGATAGCGCCTCTTTTATAAGTATATTAAGTTCCCATGTTCTAAATAAAATGCGTCACTTGACAAAAAAAATATCGGAAATTAAAAAAAAAGAAAAGTTACTATTGTTATTAATATAACTTGAATGCATGGCGCATCTCTCAGGAATTGATCAACGCCGAGAGCTTTACCCTTTATCCTTTATTACTATCACGTTATCCGTTAGCATATCTACTGTACGAATGCCAGTACTTTTTCCATTTAACTTGTTTCCCTCACATTCATCGTCCACAAATTTTTCGAACATTTTGCGTGTTGTTCCAGCTGCTTGTTGAGTATTTCGCCTTCTTTATAAATGTCGTAGTATGCTTGACGGACCCACTGTTCTTTCAATCTTGGAAATTGCCGAGTTAAGGCGTCCCCCCACGTGGATTGGAGGAAAGCGGGGATCGAACTAGCACCTTTGGTTCCTGATCGACGACATCACTAACCACTCCACTACCTCAATACAAAAAGAAAAAAAAGGATGCCGGAAATATCACCACAGTAGTAGATAGTGAAACCCATATAATAGGAAATAAGTTCTCATTAAGAAACATATTTCATTCAGTTACAGTTCTCAAATAATTTTCACGAAATCTATTTGATTCATTCCCAATTTCAGCTCAACAGTCAACATCCGCTTTCACGCAGTATGTGGACGTAAGACACGACAATCTAATCGGTAACAAAATACTTTTTAAAATCTTTGCGAAATTGTGGCGTAGTGCCCAAGAAAACCAGTGAGAAGACTACCACGGCAACCATGGGCTTCGTAGACGGAATCCCAGTTCGACAAGCGCTTCTGTTCTAGCTTAGGTCAGTGGAAATAAAATGTGGAAACAACTAGTTAACTGCTCGGTCCCATTGGCAAAGTTAAGCAGATTTCAATGGCCATCATTGAAATTAAGGAAATTTGCTACAAGCTGCGATACATCTGCTTCAAAACTGAATGCCTGATGATTTTCCGCCTAAGTTATTCGTACCATTACCGAATAACTCTCTTTCCTGGTAGTCAACTATAAACCAGCAAAATAGAGCCTTATCCCGTAAGACGAGCAATATAAAAAGGATATGCTGAGCAGCGATGGGGTTCGGTTTCACCTGTGAGTGCCTGCATTGCATTAGTAAACTTGGCACTCATCATGCGACCTCATTTATGAAAAGCGCAGTCCGCTAATGCAAGACAGGCACTCATAAATGAAGCCGATTCCTATCGCTGCTCAGCAAACCCTACCCCGGGAAGGCTATCCGCCTCCCAGCCAATTTTTGAACGGCTCGATAAGAAAGGTACTTTTGCATTGGTGGAAAAATCGTGTTCGGCACAACAAAGAAACGGAATAAAAAGATGAAAGCAGTTCTTACCATGTAATAGCGGCACAGGCAATTCCACATGGATCACCGACACACCATTTACGCCCACAGCATTGAGTTTTATCCTTTACTGCCATCTCCGCGAGGGCTTGTTCTTTAGATATTCATAGCGTCCATGATCAACATACTTCACCGAAAAACACATGAGCTTTCGAAAAGATAATGTCACAGAAAACAGAAGCACGAACTAACCATGAACCATAAACATAAACAAACCAAACATTAACAGTGTAAACGTAAACCTATTAAAACAACTTGGTTTAGCTCTCTACGATGTGCGTCGCACACTGGAGCCACTGGAGTTAATTCACCTTTACAAAAGATGGCCTAAAACTTCTTTGTGCACAAAACCACATGGAACAGCTCCGGTATTAGTCCACTTAACTTCAGTGTCATAATTCCCAAGACCAACATTCTATTAGACTCGGCACTGATCCAATAATCTTTTTATACTCTTGCTGACAAAACATGAGATGTTATTTTATTCTTCACCACGCACAAGCTAATGTCTCGGCGGATTTCGCCTTCCTCAGAGCCTAGAAAGGTCAAGTTGACCGCAATCTAACCAGCCAAGCACCTCCATAACCAAAGAGAATCAAAATGTTGGTTTAGCGTTTTCCCCGTCTGGTTATGGAGATCTTTGGTTGGATAGATTGCGGTCAACTTGACCTTTCCAGGTTTTGAGGAAGATGAAATCCGCCGAACCGACAGTTTTCCCATAATAAAGAATGAAATAACACCTTGCGTCTGTTCAACAAGAATATAAAGAATTATCCGGTGTTATAATTCCAACCGTGTTACGCAATGACATGGGTAGAGAAGGCCAAACACATTATATGAAGACCAAGGAGCGTTTCAATGCTGTTTGAACGCATCTTTCTCACAAAATCAAAACCGGATCTCAGCCAAAACCCGACCTCCAAAACTTAAACTAAAATGCACTTGTCAAAACTCAACTGAAAACTAAACTAGAAAATAAATGAGGCGTGCATGAAAGAATTAAAAGCACATCGGTATCTACACACCACGAAGATTAGTTGTCCCACACCATTGTTCTTCGACACAAACACACCAATGAATAGTTTACCCACTTTTCATGGTTTAGACATTTCTTTAATGGTAATCTAGAATGATGATTCCTCATTCCTCAGTGGGAACTCTCAAATTGAGGAGGTAGGCACCACTCTATCTGGACGCATGGTGAAAAATAACTATGAATGAGCTGCGCCAACGTGGCTATCAGCTTACCGAGGCGATGACGATTAGGAGCAAAAATATGAGGGCCCCCCGTGTCCTTTGAACGATTGGAGAGCCTAGTGGAGAATTGCAAAGTTGACAAAACGAATGAAGAATCTGCTAGTGTCCGCTCGAATTTGCTGGGAACCACACAAACGCAACGTTAATCCATAATGAAAACACTACCAAAAATTATGCAACTGATCTGAAGAAACCAGTGGGAAATACTGTCGGAGTCCTCGATTAAAAAGGGGCAATCCAAGTCATCGCCTTCTAGGTTAATCAGCGTTCCGCATCGAAAACGAACTCCGATGTCTCCCCTCAGTAGCATGTCACTTGATACCGTTCGCAACAGTGCTAGCTCCGATACGTAATTGTATCATACAGATCTTATGCAAGATCGCAGAGATAACCAAGCCGTCACTGTCACCGCAATCTCAGGTAGAAAACAAATCGATAATGATATTCACTTTTCTCTCCTTTCCCGAATGAATTGCATTAATAAGAACTCAAACCTACGATAACTAACAATCAACAAACACTTATGATTATTTATGACTTATGATCACCTTAGTGTTGGAGCTCCCACTCTGTACAGAAATCCCTAAACCGTGTGGTGCAAATTTCATCGGCCCACACATGCTATGCCCTGGGAGGGTCCAAATGACTGCACAATGTCCTCAAAAAACTACCGACCGGGCAGACCAGAACTGTAGTTCGATACCAATCTTGTACATTTCGGGACGATTAGACGCTAGAGAAAACAGATTACATGTCATGGTAACACCATGGTAAAGCTTTCTACAATATTACGAGGAATCAACCTGGGATCCGAAAAACACCAAAATGTCCCTACATCTGAAGATTTTATTTTAAAAAGGATGGATGCTATGGCTTTTTTTAAACATTGTTAGCCATTTTAAACAATATTTCTAGTAACTACACCTTACCTTTACCATCAAAGGAAAATCAAACACAACCTCATGTATTATTGACATCGAACAAACATCTTACAATAACAAAAAAGTGCAGTAATTTTAAGCAGTACGATCGCAAATGTCGAAAAGAAAGGAAAATCCTAAAAAAAAAAACCTCTATGAGGATGCGAGACAACATAGTGCAACATGAATGAACGGACATTCGACGATTATGATTCAACAGAAGAAAGCTGTACGGTTCCTTAAAAACCACTACATGGAGTAAAATAGGTGAACACACGAGCACTTAAGCAATGTATGCTCTCAACGAACAGCGAAGCGCTGGACCCCACTGTAAACAACAAAAGATACGAATAACAAAAAGCGGGATAATCAAATCATATCGGCGATGTTCATTGGCATTTCATCGATCTGAGTTGAATAGTACTGCTCAATATCACGAAGAATACGTACATCGTCATGCTTCACAAAATTGATAGCTACACCCTGAAAAAGAGTACATGGTGTCTCTTTTTCTATACAAGAATTTATTTGATCTTATTGACTGTAAACGTTCCATCGTTACAGATCTATGCAGTAAATTAAGAGGTAGGCTGACCTTTCTTCCGAAACGGCCAGAACGACCAATACGGTGAATATACAACTCACGGTTGTTAGGAAGATCATAGTTAATAACCTATAACAGTTCGTCACTTAATAATAAAGGGAACAAATGAAACTAAACAAACGGGATCGAGAAACGTGCTGATGATCTTCCTATCCAAAACTAAGAAAACGGAAAACAAACCAATGAAACTTGTGGTACATCAAGACCTCGAGCCCAAACATCAGTTGATATCAGCACACGACTGTTCCCAGCACGAAAATCCTTAAAACGCAAACCTTCAGTGAATGAAATTAAGTGGCAGAGTGAGAGTTTGTAGGCAACAGTACTTAGGGTTAAACTACCAACTAAGGACTCACCTTCATGATTTGTTCACGTTCCTTTTGCTCCATATCACCATGCATAGACGATACCGTAAAGTTGGCTTCTTTCATTTTTTCAGCCAACCAATCCACCTAACATAGAGTAGATTTTAAACACTAACCCACCCCGCGATTTCAAAGTGATGGCTGAGGTAATACCATAACATTAACAAACTTTTCTACGAGTATTGCAAAACAACACAGCCTGTGTGATGGTAAGTGTATCGTAGAGATCCACAAGTGTGTCAAATTTCCATTCTTCACAATCCACAGCGACGAAGAACTGCAAACAATGACAAGTTTAATAACTTACAGAATAAATTCGAAAACGACGAATCAGATTGGCGAAACAATTGGCAGGAAAACGCAAAGAACTATAAGGTGTTCATCAACGGGTTGTAGTAAAACATATACGTTATCAGTATTAATAGCTGACAAACCTGCTTAATCCCTTCCAACGTCAACTCATCACGTTTCACCAGAATTCTGATCGGATCAGTCATAAATTTGCTGGTCATTTCAAGAATCTCATGCGGGAGGGTTGCAGACAATAATACGACCTATAAAAGAAGTAAACGCCACTTATAGAGAGCAAAAACAAATGTGTACATGTTGTGGATATCCACATAAATAGTATAAATAACACCTTTTAATTATATTTGAAGGTATACACAGTGTACAGTATATTACTATAAGCCGTGAATGTGTTAGTCTCCGGAAAGGGTAATAGCATAATCGTTTCCCACCGCAGAAATCAGCGGTCCGAGGATTTGCAAATACCTCAGCATCTTAACTCTTTTATTTACTGCCTTTTTCTTCTTAATGGCGAAATGTTGTTATGTTGCGAAATATAACTCGTATGAAATGCTGAGATATTTGCAAAACTCCGGACCACAGGTGGATGCAATGGAGAACGAACACGCGCTGTTGTCCGTACCGGGGAGCAGCGCACTTCACCACTACACCATCCGGATCTTTCGCTTACCGTGTATCTCAGCTAGTTCTATCGATCTTTTTTTGCCATCAGCAATCACCCGTTTTGCAAATATCTCAGCATTTCATACCTCAGCATCATTAAAGCTAAGATGGTCGAAATAAATATTCACACTCTAACATTTTCACTGAAGCCTACACAGTATTACACCGAATTCTATCATCGGAACATTTCCGAAACCCATTTCTACCTTTGCATCGCTGCGCCCAAAGCTTTCATTAGCCTAATTCAAAAATACCTGTGAACTCTACATGAAAACCATACGAAAGTAGTTCATTTAGAAGAAACTCTTCGAGATAAGCTTACCTGAGCTCCGGGAGGAAGGTATCTATAGATGTCATACAGCTGCTCCTTGAAACCTTTGTTAAGCATTTCATCGGCTTCATCGAGTACAAGCAGTTTTATAGAACGAGTGCGCAGATTACGGCGGCGAATCATGTCAAACACACGACCAGGTGTTCCAGATACCTAAATTCAAAAACGTGTAAGGTTTTTCTTCACCACGACTCTGCATAACTGTTTTGAATAGAAGATAAACTAGCTTCAAACAATATCCGTCACTGTAATAAAGAGAAATAACCAACAACATGTTGTCCATAATCGAGTTTACGGATGTCCTCTCCAATGTTTGTGCCGCCAATGCATGCATGACACTGCACGTTCATATAGTCTCCCAAAGCCAAAACAACCTAAACGAATGGAAACGTCCATTACCGAGATTTTCAACCATCAAAAGTTTTCCGTCATGGATGAACTTTCACGTTACATCTGTTTATGCAAATAAAAACCGCTAGCCTTCTGTATCTGAACAGCCAATTCACGTGTTGGTGAAAGAATTAGAGCTTGACATTCCCTCAGATCCATATCAATCGACTGCAACACAGAAATAGAAAATGTCGCAGTCTTTCCGGTACCTAAAAATTTCTACATATTCATGTCAAATCTAACAATTCAAAAAACCCATACCAGACTGTGCCTGTGCTATGACATCGCGACCTTTCAGAATCGGCTTTATGGCTCGTTGTTGAATAGCTGAAGGTTTCTCAAAACCGTACGAGTAGACTCCACGAAGGAGAGGTTCTCTTAAACATGTCAACTACTCTAGTGAATTCTGAAGTTATGTCGTCATAAAGCATTGCGGGCGACAAGCAAATGCAGCACAACTTGAAACAATGCAAAACGCACTACAAGATAAAGCTTGAAGCTAACGAAAAGGTGTCACAAGATTCCCATCACTACTACAATCCCTTGAAAAACTACATCACAAAAACCTCTATACTGGATAACAAACCTTAATCCCATGGCATCGAACGTTGGTATCACCTCCACCTCCTCAGAACTTTCGAACTCAACGGCAGATAGATCCTCCACCGTAGGCTCAATATTTCTTCTCTTTTTTCCTGACATTTCTTAAACACTCTCAGCAACTGAAACCTTCTTCATTAATCCATGAATAAGAGAAGGGAAAACAATGGGGAAACACTGTAAAGACTAATATCGGAGGAAATGACCAGAAAAGTGTAATCGACTTCCTCAAGATGGGAGCTTCATGCAATAAATAAAATTTGATATATAAAAACTGTTAGGAGCACAAGTAGATAAACAGGCAAATAATAAACAAAGAGACATCAAAATCTTCATCACTGATACCCAAAAAAACTACATGAAGACAAATACTTTAGAGAGAATGGTGTCAGATAAGTAATCCACCTAACATTAGTGAAATGTTAGTGGCTTAGGAAGTTCCTAATAGAAGGTAACAAACAACCGGTGTACTTGATGTGGGCTAACTTCTGAGATTTGTAACGTAACGTTATCGACTGACTGCCTATTCCTAAACCGCGAAGTCAGGAGAGAACTCATTGTGCAAATAGAAATCATAAGTGTAATGTGTTGTAAACGCAACCATTTACAGAAAAAAAGTTGAGTGATTCAAAAACTCAATAAGAATAAACGGAAAGTAGCAATGAGAGAATTGAAGGCGTGATCATAAATTGGGTACAAACAACACAGCATGGCGGCGCACTTATAGATCGATCACCTCAACCTTAGTACAATTTCCCCACAATAAGACCAATCAGTAAGGCGGCTATTGCGAGTAGAATGACCTGAAAGCAGTTAGTGATTTAATATATTAGATAGGCTACATAAATCGCTACGACTGGAAGTAGTACTTGAAGCATTCCTGATAGAGAAAGAATACGGTATAGGGCTTGTAATAATTGGGCCAGCATAATTGAACTTTCTCTACAGTGTAAAAGAAAAGACGTTCCGAACAAATCACCTGTATAGTAGGAGTCCCACCCTCTTGGGTCTGCATCGTTGCGGCAGACTGCAGCTTTCTGTGCCTCTAAAACAACAAAGTTTCGTTGAAAATAATGTAAGACAACGATCCTAAATGCATTGTTTCCGCAGAGCACACCAAATATAAACACTTTCCAAGAAACGTCTAAAATTTTTCATCTTGCAACTAAAATATTAAAAAATCTAAATGACCTAAAATTAGTACGAAAAATCCCCATATGGTAACCGCACCCACCTAGATGAAATGTATTCTGATACCTTTTTAAGCTGACGCGAAGTTGGTACAGGTCTCGTTGTCGATATCGTTGTTTTTGATGTTGTTGGTCGATGGTTGACGTTTCGGCGACTTCGCCATCCTCAGAGCCGTGATGTTACGTGTGGAAGAGTAAGGAAGGCGAAGTAGCCGAAACGTCAACCATCGACCAACAATATCAAAAACAACGACAACGACAACGAAGACCTGTACCAACCTCACGTCAGCTTAAGGAGATCAGTTTATAAGATCATATGAATAAATATATCAACTATCTATGCCGAGGTTTATAGAAAGTCGGTCTTTCGAGCTATTCTGATACCAAAAACGCGTAAGAAAACCATGCTTTTCCGAAAGTTCAGCAAGCAAACAGTTAGAAGGTTGAAACAACTTGCACCGTTTGTTGGACAAAAATTATATAACGGTCAGTACTAAAACGAGCTTGATCGCACCGTTTTCAGCGAGATGTTTGAAATCATTTGGAAGTGTCATTGTATTAGCGACTTTTCATGGAAGTGCGACTGCATTATATGAGGAAACAGAAAGGCCCTAGTCTTGATAGTTTCTAATCCGACCATTTTCCACTGGAATTAGTAATCTGCACACTGGTTTACTTCGCATTATGTACAGTAGTTTAATTAATGAGTGGAAAACCAGTAAGACTATCTACGCGACTGAAACCAGTACGCACGGCTTTCCACAACAGTTGTTTACCAGATCAGAGGAGCAGGACGAAAAAGGGAAACCAGGGACCGTAGTATGACTATCAACAGCTCTCTCACTTTCAGAATACAAACTCGTTTTGAAAACACATCAACACAATTTAGTAATCTACTACTAAACCACATTATCTTCATTGCGCCAGAAATAAAAACACCTACATTAAACAAGTCGTCGAGATCCTGCTGTAGCACCGCCCGCTCCTTTTCAGACTTCAAACGCAATTCTATCTCACTTTTTAACTTCTCTTCAAGTTCCTAAAAACGAATATAAGAACATAAGTTCTTAAATATACGCTAGTAGAAAAAGTGAATACAAAGCGAAAAAAAGCCATATTACCTTCTTTTACAAAGAAGTTGAAATATTTGTAACTATACAGTACATATATAAAATGACGTAACGACAATTCAAGTCCACAGAAGTTTACAAATAACCCACATAAATACGATTTCCTCCAGAAGAAACAGAAGATCGTGCATTGTTGGTGGCAACAGGGCTGAAGAAAACCTCGATTTATTACGTAGAAATCAAAACGAAAAGTGCAACAAAGCGGCGAAAGAGAACGGCTGCTGAATTATTGTCGATAATATTCTCATAACCTAAGCATTTAAGGTGAAAATTGACATATAGAATGAAACAAGCATTATTTCTCTAAAGACATACAAACTTTAATACTCTTAAACATTCAAGGACCCTATCCACAAAGAAAGAAGATAAAACGAGAATTAAAAAAACAAATGTTCTAATAAAAGCGTTGCAGACGCAAATAACAACGATGCGTTAAGGAACAACAACGGGTCTTAATGGATGAAATTTAGCTTATTCAAAAGCTTTGTTGCTCGAGATACGAACCTCAGCAAAGAAGAGCAAAAAACCCATCACCATGACTGAACCAGTGGATCAGCGTCGTTATGCTTTCCCATGTTGAACAGACAATTACATTCGGGAACAAAAGCATTGAAGCGAGCGTGTTTTAGCAAACGTCATAAGAAAAGTAGACAAATTAACGAAACAATAAACAATTTTACTGTCTGTACGGAGCTATAGATAAAACATATACGTAAAAACATGACCTATTTATATCTACCTTATAGAAGAAACAGCCGACGGAGCTTCTTCTCTGACTACCACCTGCTGATCATCCCCACGTTGTTGGAATACCACCATTAATTTGCTGTACATCAACTCAGAAGACGGGATTGTCTAAGTAGGAAAACTGGATCAGATCCAAACCATGCAGAAATCTTATAGACTAGAAAATAAAATCCAGAATACATACTTTCCATATATTCTCGAGATCTACATCACCCGATGGACAAAAGCATGTCTGAACCATGAATTTGTGACGTGCTACATCAGTAGGAACACCATCCATTGGTTGGAGCATGACTGTGATAGTTTTCGAACCGCTAGGGGGAAGAATGCCTAACATCAAACACATTGAGATTTTGCGTCTGACAGCTAAGTATGACAACTCATTAATACCCGAATTTGGACGAACGCAATATTGTTTTGGTGCAGTAGTTTTTACTTTGAAACATACAGCTCGTTCAGTTGGATTCTTCAACTGCAGGTGAGCATTGACGATGTCGGTAAAAGGACCTGGAATTACATATGCATAAGCAAACTCCAGATAGGCAAAACAGAAAAGAATCGAACTTTTAACTGATTTAAACATAATGGATGGAGATGAATCAAAATGAAAAAATGTCAAGAATTCCATTCCCAACATTAACGTTTAAACCACTGGCAATACATTCGCTGTGGACCATAAATGCTCCTTAGATGGCGGAAAATAATATAACCCATCATGTTCTTACAAACATTTTTACCTTGAAATGAATCTCTCCAATCGACGCAAAAACTGCTGGAGTACCCATACAATTATTTACAAGGTACAAGTATACCCATTCTATCACCGTAAAAATCTGCTAATTTCCAGTAACAATGTTACAAAAACCATTCCTCTTAACACCCTAGGGTGTAGGGGAGAGCTCGTATCGCACAGTGGTCGGCGGTGCCCTGTAATACCCACGTGGAATCGATTCCCGCGCACATGGCTCTCCAAACCTTTCATCCCTCCGGGCTTGGAAAATTGGTACCAGACTTATCTAGGAGGATAGCAGCACTGGCTCGATAAATCAGTAAGCAATCGCGAGTAATTCTAATAGTCAAACAGGCATTGAACCACCTCCGAACAATCCTTAATAAAGTCGAATGCATGGTGCATCCCTCAGGAATTGATCAACGCCGAGAGCTTGTTCTTCTACCTAAGGACGCGAAATTGGTACCAGCCTTGTCAGAGGTTAGCTTATCCTCGTTTATCCACGTAGTAACGACTTAGCATGGTTACCACGGAATTCTAGGAATACTCAACTCGATCAGGACTGGACAACATTCATTGATGTAAACCCTCAAACAGCAGTCCAACCCACTCGCAAAGGTTCGAATATCTTTGTAGATGGTGGATGCGAGGGAACGAATCGAGTCCAAGTGCTGGAATCCGAACAATATGCAAGGCCGGGTGATTCAAGGAAAATAAGTAAGAAGCATAGTGGCGCCTAAAAAGGCCAGTTTCAAAAAGTGAGTAGAAGGGACTCAACTATCATTGAGCATTCTATAACACTTGCTATTTCACAGCTGCTTGTATGACCGTGCATGTACAATGCAAAATTGTTGGATTTGCCCGGACGGTAGAAACGTTGAATGATCTTTTATAAAATGTGATGGGCCGAATATATTGGCCAGAACCTACTCTTTTCAACGACAGGGTATACATTGCGAAATATAATTCCAATGATGCTGAGATATTTGCAAAACTCCGGACCGCAGGTGTATGCGGTGGGGAACGAATATCTCAGCATCATTGAAGTTATATCAAACAAGCTACTTCACAGGACACGGAAGCTTACAGCAGAAGCGATCTAAGACTTGAGTGCATAAAACTTCTCCAGGTTTCTTGAATAAATTCCTGAAGTCGAATGATTAACCTCAGAGCTTTGAACGCCTTATAGTCACGCGTGATCTCGCACAATATCTCCGACTAATTTTTAACTCAAAGAAGGCACATGCTTGACCTACGTAAACCCTCTGCGGTGGGTCCCTGTCAATAACTGGAAGACATATTTTGAAAAAGTACGTGTTTAAAAGCTACTTTCCTTTTAAGGCGCGTATGGCGCAGTTATCGTAGGCGCCCTGCAACACACATAGGATCGATCTCTGCGCCCCAGTCTCACCAAGCCTTCTGTTCCACCGGGGTTGGTAAAGTGTACCAGACTTGTCTGAGAGCATAGCAGCACCTGCTAAATATATCGGTAGGCCACCGCGAGCCATTTTAAATGCCAGATATGCATTCAACCACTTCCAAAAGATGCTCAGTGAAATCGAATGCATAGTGCACCCTTCAGGGATTAATCAACGCCAAGGGCTTTATCCTTCTTTTTTTACTCTTCGATTAAGACTTTGACTTTCAACTTTTTTTGCTACCTCATGGAGGTATCTGGCCATCTAGACAGCGTGCCAACTTCTTCCTTGCCAGGTTTTAAAGAGAAACAATCGAAGCGTTAAGTACTGCCGAACAAATGCTGTCTTAACAAAAAGGTGTCTGCTCATCGAGAAAATATAAGCTTACTCTCCAAATTCAGTTACTTCATCGAAGTTCAAATATGTTTCAATAATCTAAATAGTATTAGTTAACGATATGAACAAGCATAAGAAATTTCAGGCTTTTTCAGTATTGAAATATAAAACATATGTGACACCAACAGAAGACTTTATCAACTGGTTGTTTTATAGGCTATCGCGACAAACGTCGTTTTAGAAATCAACGAACTCATTTTTACAATACTCATGCCGGATGAAACACTCAGCAGATTGATCAAAACTATCAATATTCCTTCTTCAATCTTTCATCACAAACAAGTTACGAGGTTTGCCTTCCACACTACGGGTAGTAAACGACCACTTCATCTAACAGAAAGTGGATCCTTTCGAAGAATGTGTTCTGTAGTGGCATACCTAACATAAGTAATGCCATACCTAATATAATAGCAAAACACGACAAGTTGAATGAACAACTTTTCAAAAAATTCTCACCCACCCTGAAAAACAAGTTCCTTTGCCGGTTCCAACTGCAATACTTGGACGGGTTTCGGCTCCGACATGACAGATCAAAAACTGCAAAGGTTTATAACAATGATGTAATCGAAATCGTTCAGCGAAAACCACGGGAGCTTAAACCAATTTAGCAGTTGCTTTCAGAAAGAACTTAGTGTTATCGAAAATTTATTCGCCTAATGAAGAAAAAAGAAAGACAGAAGGAAAAGAAAAAAGAAAGAGAATAACAGTAACTCAATCCCGATGAGAGCTCCTTAGTAGCACTCCCGACCTCCACTTTCAAAGCGAAACCAAGTAGCAGTTGAAAATGATTACGCCTATCTTACTCCATAAATATAGCAAAACGCTTTCATTTTATCCTTAGGGCCAAATGTTTCATGATGTTTTAAACAAAAACTTTTCTTTCCTTTCGTAGCTCAATGCTCATACAACCCAACTGAATGCCACTACGCAGACGGAAATCTTAAAACTACTAACTAAACAATGAAGAGCTCTAAGGCCCCTAATAAAGCACAAAGTGTACGAAACCTTAATTGAACATTCCTTAACGGACTTTCGAAACGAAACACTAGCGCTGCCATTACGCAGGGACCAAGGGCTTAGCCGCAATCTGTCTCTCTCCGTTTGAAAGACGCACGCGCGCAGGTACTCAGCGAAGTGGCGGATACGCAGGGAAATTCGAAACAGACGAAGCGGAGTGGTGACGCGCCCGCGCGCGGTTGTTGCGAGGCGGCCTATGGGCGGTCCGGAGGAGTCTCGCGTAGTCACCGTTGTCTCTGTCAACTTCATGAAGTCGTTTAGAAATTATTTATTATTCGTCCCAATGGTTTACCGTCTAATCGTACCTGGGAGGTGTTCCTCGGTGACGGACTGCGATGTGCAGTGGGGGATTCATCCCTCTGGCAAGGTCTCCTAAACTGACAAGGAGTCCGACGTTTCAATCAGGAAGCCTAGCTATGAGTAAACCAACATCAGGATCAGTTTGTCACCATTCTGGTACCAAACTAGTGGCATGGTGGCAAATCTCCTTCCAATCCACAAGGGCGGCAACTGCCGGTGAAGATCTGGAGTAAACTTTGACATGGCTGACCTCGTGACTCCATGATGTCTAAACTACCAAAACTCTGAAAAGGTGGTGGTTATGCTAGGGCCCCATAACCAGTGAGGACAGGCCATCCAAGTAGGTTAGAAATCATTACTGTTATTATTATTGTTATTATTATTATTATTACTGTTATTATTATTGTTATCGTTGTTAATACATGACTTAGGGAGCGGGTAGGACGATGGTAGCGACGCCGGTCATCGCGAGCACAGCTCTGGTTCGATCACGCCGCGGCGCTCACCTGGCCACTTGTCCCTCCAGGATCGGGAAGTTAGGACCGGACCTGTCCGGAGAAAAATCGCTCTATGCAATCGAACTGGTAACGGTTTAGCTGGACTTCCTCAAAAATCCAGGAAGAATCGGTTCGACCAGCATTCAACGACATTCGTGGTGAAAGAGTAATCACCAAAGAAGTAGACGAAGGCACATGCAACAACCTGGAAGAACATCGTGGACGATGGACGCCAGAAAAGGAATTAAATGTAAGAAGTGCAGGGATCCACACAGTAGATGTGGAGATGGGTCGTTTAAAGAGTAAAAGTTTTATAAAAATTTTAAAAAATACAAGATCCGACGTTACCCGTATCACACTGTGCGGATCCAAGCACCTGTATTCGACTCGTTTTCTCGCATCCGCTGTTCACAAAAATCCAGAGAACATTTTGAATTTGCTTTGGGACGGAAGTGTGCCAAGTTTGGTACGAGAGATCGAAGCCATGCTTATTGCAGAGAACCTCTAACCACTGCGTTGCTTGCTTGGAAACATACACGAGCAAATTCTAATGTACTAAAGAATGTATTAATATTCCACCGTTTTCGCACGGTGGAATAAAATCGTTGGATATAAAAAAAGAGAGAAAAGAACTTGAAAAATACACAAATGCACTTCGACTGTCGTACAAAACCATGGGAATATCTAATAACATCATTGTTAGATAACGGGCGATCTCGTTTCCTCATCACAATGAACAGGTATCCTAGAACATGAGAACATGCACAAAGAGACATAGTGAGTAAGTGGAAGTTAGAGAAAAACAGAAACTACGTTAACGAAGCGAGTAATGGGACAGTGACTTCAAGGAACCGGTACGCCATCCCCTTTCAAGGGCTGACAGGTCGTGTGTATTCGTTTCAATGTGCACTTCGATTCTGATCCGATGAGCTTGACACGGGAAAGTGGCGATGGTCGTGAATGCGGTTAAACATAGTATTAATTAATGTATTTAAACATGAGTTTCTCGAAAATTACGAGAAATCCTCCATTTTTCACAACTAACTTGATAGCATGTGGCGCGGTGGTCGGAGGCCCTGCGACAGACATGTGGAATCGGTCCCTGCGCCCATGGCTCACCAAGCTTTCCACTCCTCCAGGATCGGCGAATTGGTAGTAGACTTGTCTGGGAGGATAGCAGCACTGGCTAGATGTATCAGTAGGCCACCGAGAGTCATTGTTAAGGCCATGTACGCATTTAATCACCTCCAAACGATGCTTAATGAAGTCGAATGCATGACGCATCCTCAGGGATTGACCAACGCCGTGAGCTTTACCATTCTTAACGTGATAGCATGAGAATATACTGCCGACACTGGATGTTAGCAATGAAGTGGATGAATACAGAGGAACGACATGAAGGAGGAAGGATTAATTTTCGGGTTTTAATTCACAATGGAATACAATCAGGAGAAATTTTTTTCGGTGTTTGAAGAAGAAACACAAAAGTCGTGACATATTTGCATTCTTT